GGCCGCCGCAGCCGCAGCAAGTCAAATGTCCCTCTCCCACCAAATGCCGCCTCTCTGCTCGATAAGCTCCTCACTGGCCTCGTCGATCATCACAAACACGGACCCGCCGCCCCTTCACGAGCCCAACACCCTGGAGATGCTACAGAAACGAGCGCAGGAGGTGCTCGACAATGCGAGTCAGGGCCTCCTGGCGAACAATCTAGCCGATGAGCTCGCGTTCAGGGGCGGCAAGGGCTCACGACTGTCACCCTACGATTCGAAGTCCTCCGGTGGGCGCGGCGAGCCCTTCTTCAAGCACCGCTGTCGCTACTGCGGCAAGGTCTTTGGCAGTGATTCGGCGCTCCAGATTCACATCCGGTCCCATACAGGTGAGCGACCCTTTAAATGCAACGTCTGCGGAAGCCGATTCACCACCAAGGGAAACCTCAAGGTCCACTTCCAGAGGCACACGGCCAAGTTTCCACACGTTAAGATGAATCCGAATCCCGTGCCCGAGCACCTTGACAAGTACCATCCCCCCCTTCTCCAGCAGCTCGCGGCTTCCGGGCAAAGGCCCTTACCGTCCCCGCCACCGCCACCGCCGCCGCCGCCGCCGCCGCCGCCCCCGGCACCGCCAGCGTCGTCCTCCTCCTCCTCGTCGTCGTCGCCATCATCGTCGTCGCATCATCCGTCGTTGTGTCACCCTGGCTCCGCAGCAGCAGCAGCAGCCGCGGCCGCCGCCGCAGCGGCTCATGGGTTCCTTCCACCTCAGCCACCGTTACCTCTTGCTCTAACCCTCCCTGTATTGCCACCCCTTTACCGATCACCCCTCCTTAATCACAGGGAGGAACAAGAGGTTCCGGAGAATCTCAGTAAGACCACTGTCCCGTCTCCTCACACATCGCCTCCTGTTCCAACGGGACATCATCATCTCCCTTTACCCAGTTCCCATCATCCTCACCTCCACCATCAATCGAACTCGCATCATTCCTCCTTTCACGAGCATCATCCGATGAAGCAGCAGCAGCAGCTGCATCATCATCACGCTCAGCAACAACATCATCTCCATCATCACGAGCAGACTACCTCGATAGCATCCTCGGCCGCGCAAAGAGACGAGATTAAACTAGAACACCAGTCACCTACTCAAGACTCCTACCAACAACAATCACGACCAACGAGTCGGGAGGATTCCGAGAGGATAACGCCGAAGCGAGAACCAGAGGATACCGAGGAGCAACCCGAGGACGAAATAGAGGAGTACGAAGATAGTAGCCGGAGATACCTGAACAACTCGTCACCATCCTCGACGGCGAATCCTCCGTCACAACCACAACCTTACGAGGACTGTAGTATGGACAGTAGTAAGATGAGTGCCCGACTTGAGGCCGAAAATGAAATGGACGGGGACGGGGATGAAGAGATGGAAGAACAGCCAGAGAACCTCTCAGGTCGCGGTACTTCGAGTAGACTTGGTCATCAGAGTCTCGGCTATCCTGGTGCCTCTCCCGCAAGCAGTAGTGCCAGCAGCAGTAGCCTCCAAACGACCTTCGCGGGAATTTTATTTCCCACGGGGCCACCACTACCGCCAGTGACTTCGTCCTCCGCCTCGGCGATTCATCATCCTCAGCTGATTCACCACGTCTCCTCCAGTGGTGGCGGCACTACTCCCACCGCACCTGGATGTGAAATGATCGTCGATCCTGCCCGTGATCCTGCCATATACTCGAGCCTACTTCCACGACCGGGGAGCAATGACAACTCCTGGGAGAGTCTTATCGAAATTACCAAAACCTCGGAGACGTCGAAGCTTCAACAGCTGGTTGACAACATCGAGCACAAGTTGACGGATCCTAACCAGTGCGTCATCTGTCACAGGGTACTCTCCTGTAAGAGTGCACTCCAGATGCACTATCGTACTCATACAGGCGAACGGCCATTTAAGTGCAAAATATGTGGCAGAGCCTTCACCACCAAAGGCAACCTTAAGACTCACATGGGGGTGCATCGAGCAAAACCACCCCTCAGGGTGCTTCATCAATGTCCGGTATGTCACAAAAAATTCACAAATGCCCTGGTACTTCAGCAGCACATACGACTTCATACGGGCGAACCTACGGATCTCAGTCCGGAACAAATTCAGGCGGCTGAAGTTAATGAATTTCCACCTGGTTACCCACATCATCCTCTGGCCTCGTTTCTCCCCCAGGGATTCCCGGCGCTTCATCCCGCAGGGAGTGGGTTCCCCTTGGGGTTCCCAGGTTCGCGCCAGCACATAGCCGAAAGAACTCCTCATGAGAATGACCTCGACTCGAAGGACTCTCGAGAACATCTGCATCATCCTCTTCTTCCCTCTCATCATCATCTCTCGCACCAACAGAATGCTCAGCATCACTTGCAACTGCATCAACAACACCAAAAGTACTCGGAAGAGCGGAGCTCCACCGCAGGTGATGACGAAATGGCTGAAGATCAAGAAGAGGAGGATGACATCACTCGAGAAGATGATGAGAGGTGCGATGAACGGGAGAGGCGAAGTATGGAAGATGCTGAAAATGATCCGGAGAGAGATGAAAACGAAGAGGAGCATCATCATCACCTTCATCATCATCATCATCAACAACAGCAACAACGGCTGTCGCTACCAAGCTTTTCGACGTCTCTGGCGGCCCTCGAGAACCAGGTGCGAACGATCACGACGACAGTGGCTGGTGGTAGCTCCAGGTCACCTGGACCCCACCGATATAACGGAAGTGAAAAGAGCACCAGTCCCCCGGCGATACGAAATGGAAGCGGCGGTGTTCCGCTTGACCTGACCCCACGCTCTTCCTCGACCCCGGTGGGTGGCTCGACGCCTACCCCGACGCCGCCGTCCCCACCGACAGCAGGAGCATCCTTGGCATCGCCATCCGCCTCGTCACAGAGCACAGCGCATCACGCGCATGCTTTCGGAATGTTCGCAGGCCTTCTTAGGGCGGTCTCATCGCCACCGTCGAATCTCGGTGGTGGCGGCGCCAGCGGCATTGGCGGTAGCAGCATCAGCACTCCCAGCGTATCCGGTACAACGTTAAACAGCGTAGTCTCGATGACCGCTGGGAATCCAGTCCTCGGCGAAGGCGTCGGTAGCGTCGTTGGTGTCAGTGGCGTCGGCGGTGTCGGTGGCAGTAGCGGCGGCGGGGGCGGTAGCGGTGGTGGCGGTGAAGGTGCCGGTAGCAGCACTACCGCCACCACCGGAGGAGCACTTGCCTCTCTAACGACGTCAGCCGTTCTCGCTGCCACTTCTACCTACAATCCCCTCGGCCTGGCTGTCGGAGGGCCAGCAGGTAGGCGCTGCTAGCAGCGGGGCGAGCCGCGCGCGGTTCCTGCTACACCTACCCTCCCTTCGGGATGCATACCTATCCTACCTACGTACCTACGTACCAATCTCTGGCATCATCCCACCTTTTATTCATAACATTGCAATCCTCTTTCACTCTCTCTTTTTCACTCTCTGTCTCTCTCTATCTCTCTTTAAGTTCTCTAAATTATTGATTCTCCTTAGAAGTTAATACACCTTTCCAAGATAATTTTATCCTTTGTTACTTTGAGACTGCTCTACGTGGACTGATTTATGCGATCCTTCTTCTCCTCTTCCTGACTTGGTGTAGCTGGACCTAGCACTCCCCCCCCCCAACCCCCCTCATTCTCTCGTTCTGGATCTCACTCTTTCTCTCACGGATACACATGCACACATTATCTATCTCTGTCACTCTTGCTTTTTCTCTCTATCCGTCTGCCTATCTGTTTCTGTGATTGGTCCAGAGTGTCATCGAAGATCATTTGAATCATTTGATCTCTCGATTCACGTACTGGCTGGTGGGTTCGCGCGCGCTCGCGTTCCTCGCGCGTTTCACTCGTGTTAGTCCAACATCGGTAGCCGGGCCGAATTCGACACACGTGCGTCCGACTAACACGGCTTATTAAAATACATTCATTATGTACACTCACATGCCCCGTAGACATACCCCACATACACCTCTATTGTATATTTTTATATGTATTTATACGTAAATGTATGTGTATACTCATAGATTTGTTTTGTATCGTTACTATTATTGTTCTTGTCATTTTTTATTATCATTGTCATTTATATTACTATTATTACTACTATTATACTATTATATTAATAATGTTATTGATATTATAGACATGCGGACCCGACGTTCTTTTCCTTGCGTCCATGTACGGCACTGAATAAATTGCTTTGTACAACATGAACTTGCCTCCACGCTTTTCCTCAATCCTCCTGGCCCTTATCACTATACCACGAGAAAATAGAAGAATCATTCTCATCGCTATCTTTACTATTGATCTCACTGTTACTGTTATCCAAGTGAATCCGAGTCGTAATTGGGAGAGCATAGGGCCTCTCCATCAGGAACATCAATGATTCACAATTGCTATCTCGAATGTAATCACTGCAGTCTGATCAGCCATCAGAATTTCGTTGTTGATTATTAGACTTTGATTCGAAAGTAAATAAAAGCGATTGAAATTTGCCGCTCTCTAGGCTTTACACGATTAGTACATTGAGCACATCACAGGCTAGAAGCAAATGGATGCTATTACTAAAATATGCCTGACGAGTCGGACGCGCGTTTGCTGAATATCTTTCTCTCTCTTTTTTTCTTATATATATATATATATCCAAATATATATATATATATACACACACACACACACAATTCTTCTCTATATCTTCTCTTTTACCCTCTCTTACTCCTAGTCGAAAGACACAAAGAGAGAGTCACATTTAACTTTCCCACGATCTGTTGCAGTCCGCGGTAACACGACATGCAATATCTGTTACAAGACGTTCGCTTGTAACTCGGCCTTGGAGATTCACTACCGGAGCCACACGAAGGAACGACCGTTCAAGTGCACCATTTGCGACCGGGGCTTTTCCACGAAGGTAAGTACTAAAGGTGCATTAAATTGCTGCCAAGAGGCATCCTTTAAATGGTCCTTCGGTACCCGCTGCCACTTGTTGCCGTTTGTTAGATTCAAGCTGATCCTCGGGTCGCTCCTCTGTCTCTTGTTGTCCGGTTGTCAATACACCGCGATACTTTGCAGAATGAACGCGAACCCTGGTTGACGAATACGTGTACCTGTGTCGATCGGAGGAACTCCCTATCCAAGACCGGCACCGAGTCCACTAGCACCACTAGCACGACTAGCACCACTATCACCAACATCCCTTCGTCCGAGTCGCATGGCGGCAATCGGACGAGGCCGAAACGCAGGCGGCGACGTCCTGAGGAGAGGAAGCCCCGGGGGCGGACTGGTGGCAACGAATGGGGGCGGGGAGTGATCTCTGGCTACGCTGCTCTCCACCTGCCCCCGATGCTGCCTCCCGCCCTCGGACTTCTCGCCTCGGACCACGTCTTCCTGGTAAGGGCCTCTTCCTTTCCTCCCTACCAATTCCTAACCTCAATCCCCATGTATTAGCTATCCTCGTTTTGATACCCGTCTTTCGAGTAACCATCCTAGAATGTCGATTTTCCTGTTCCCCAAGAAGATCACCGTTTCGTAAGATGCAACCTCAGTGGAGTACCACGTTTGTTTTTCTTCCGTAGGGGAACATGAAGCAGCACATGCTCACACACAAGATCCGGGACATGCCGCCTCACCTCTTTGCCGACGCGAAACAGACGGGTCAGCAGCAGCAGCAGCAACCACAGCAGCAGGATCATGAGAACTCGAGGAGTCCCATGTGTGCGGATGAGTCGAGTCTACCACCTCCAGCGCCTCCACCACCACCAATGCCACCGTCGTCCGTGGAAGCTGTAGTGGCAGCCGCGGCGATGCCTGTCAAGAGATCACCGCCCGAGGGTGATTTACCTGCGCCCAAGAGGCCGCCCAGTAAGTCGCCGTCATCGTCCTCACCGTCGCCGGCGCCGTCGTCGTCTTCGCCCTCGTCGTCGTCGTCGGCGTCAAAGACCCGCGGTACTTCTCACGCGATTTTAGACTTTCTCAGAGGGATCGCGACACTCTTCCAGACGTTTAACGTAATTAGTCACGTTAGAAGCACACTGATCCTATACCGCGAGAAGCTATTATTTTTTTGTTCAATGAAAAGAGAGTCGTTCACGAGTCTATGTAATTATTAATTTTCCTCCGGTTTTAAATTCGCTTATAGCCTCGCATAGCAGAGCTACATGTTCGATATGACGTAGTAGTAGACTCTCCTGCCTACATAACTCGCTCATTTATTCCCTCTCTAACCTCTGCCTCTAACATCGCGCGCTCTTTCTCATCCTACAACTTCCTGCTTCTCGATATGCGTTCAGCTGCTAATATTTGCCCCTAGCTTGCGGAGTTCTTGTTCTCAACGCACGTAAGAGCTAGAAAGAGAGAGAGAGAGAGAGGTTGGAAGGTTAAAAAATGGAAAGAAGATGCGCGTCCTAAGGAACGAATTGAAAAAGGCAGCTTAGCGAACTAGCGCGTGTGTGTGTGTTTGCAGGCATGCCCAGCAAGCACTTGTGCCAGGTTTGCAATAAGAATTTCTCCTCATCTTCGGCGCTCCAGATCCATATGAGAACACATACGGGCGACAAACCGTTCCGATGCACCGTCTGCCAGAAGGCCTTCACCACCAAGGGCAACCTCAAGGTACAGGCACACACCTCTCACTCAGCATCGTCATATATTGGCCACGAATCCTGTCTTGATACGCCATCTTCCTTCTTGCAAAAATATCAAAAGAATCACAGCTTACCCTGCTCCTCCAGATTGTCCTCACTCCCATTCTCCGGCCAGAATTTTCCCCAATGCCTATAGCCAGGCTTCTCATGCTTCACCTAACGGCTTATTGGCGTACTAATGCTTGCGCTCAATAGGTAGAATGGATTGCAGCTTAACACGGGTAGCCGCGACATGGCACGGATAGCCCACTGTTCTTCACGTCGCGTTCACTTGATTATAACATCTTATTCCATTGGCACAGGTGCACATGGGAACGCATATGTGGACGAACGGAGCGTCGCGACGAGGTCGCCGAATGTCATTGGATCTACCGCCACTGCCCATCACACCCAAGGACTCGGAGTTTCTTCAGCGACGACCGGATCTCTTTTATCCTTATCTACCCGCGCCGTTCCTTAATGGCGTTCAGCAAAAAGTACGTATCGCGTGGATAAGCGCGAAGGTGGTGGAGGACATTAGCCACTAATCGCGAGGAGCATCATAGAACATCTTCAGACTTTATCGTAGAGCGTTTTATAATACCAGTGGCAAAACGTCCCTACCCTCTTCAGCCGCAAAACCCGACGAGCCGACTAATCCTTATCTTGTTTCCCGTGTTTCTAGGTAATTGTCCCAGAATAAAGCTAACCAGTCGGCGTGCATTACTTACAGCTGAACGAGATCTCGGTCATACAAAGTAACAATGGACTAACGTCGCCACACAGCGCAAGTGCAGCCAAGTACGCTGGTCTCTTTGGATCAGTCTATGGAGGCGTCGCTGGTGGCGGTGGCGGTGCTGGCGGTGGCGCCGGAGGTGGCGGTATCGCCGCGGGATTCCCTGTTGACAAGCAGCCGATGGCACCGAGTAACGGCTCCCTAGGAGAATCGAAATCCCTATCAGCAGGGTCCATGCTCTTCCGCACACCGTCTCCATCTCATTCACCTGGCACTCCGTCGTCGAACACCGGCAATCAGAATTCCGCCAGTGTACCATCCTGGGGAGGTAGCGATCCGCTGCAACACAGATTCGAGCGTGAAACTTCGTCCAGGACGGAGGAGAACGCGACTCCGCCAACGGCAAGACTACCACCTACACCGGCGCCAAGAGGGGAAGGTCTGGCAGCCTAGTTATCCTTAGGACAGTTATCCTAACGACGATCACACAGCAACTTCATGGTCTAATCACACTATGGACGAGAACTCCTGCAGGGACTGCTACAATTAGTACAGTTGCATCTCGTCCTGGTCATCCTCGACCTTGCACTAGTGTCGATCAGTGTTCTCACCGCGCTGCATCCCACGCGACTCACATCCTCGTGATGATTCGATGCCAGCAGAAGAAGACAGCATGTTCCTATTATCAGACTAGTCGTAACGCGTTAATGAACGGTAGAGTGTCGATCGGATTCCGCTTGACATCCTTCCGGTTAGGCTAGGTTACGTTAGAGGGTTCCCGCGAGGCGACAAGGGGTTATGGCCGCAAAGGTCACTTGCGTGCGGGACCACTCCCCCCCTCCCAGAGGATTCGCGTATCTCGTATCTCCTTCGGTATCCTTTGGCATCCTTGGGCAGGAGGCAAGACTAACCTAAGAGTGCGAGAAAGAGATAGAGTAAGAATGTGAGAGGGAGAGGGCTGCGTGGGGAGAAGAACTAGATTAATATAGCAGCGCCTAGACTGAGCTCCTTAACGTCCTGTGCGACGATACGAGCCGCAAGACACGTGGCGCCGCTTTCCCACGATTTCCCACGATCGATGTAAGTTATTTCCCTCATTGTCAGTCCCGCCTCGCCGTCAGCCTCATTATTGTTAGTATAGCCTCCCTTGGTTATTCCTTCTCAGAATCAGTTTACACGAAGCTCTTGGTCGGACTTTGCATCATCGTTCAACGATATGCAAAGGCGAATCTACACTCATCCAAGTACACGTGTATTATACCAATAAAAATATTGCGTCATTGGAGGAGAGAAAGCTTGAATGGGAATGTGGGTGAAATTATGAATGATGGTGTACCGTGTGTTGTGACAGGGAGAAAATATATAGAAAGTGTACTATTGGGGTGGGTCAGAGACGCCAGGGGAGACAACGAGTAAACTAGAAAAAGAGACAGAGGCCAAAAACGAATGATCGAATAAATGAGTAATGTGTGCCGGAGAATGAATGTCCTGAATGTGTTTGTGTGAATGATGTGAGTACGAAATAAAATGATTGACAAGAAAGAATTAAGAGAGATTAGGGAAAAGTTAGGAGGCGGGCCCGGCAGCGTCCCTCGCTGTGATATGAGAGGAGCAGCCTGCAATCACTAAACCAATGTACTTATATTCTGTATCATAGTATTATTATAAATTAATTATATTATATTATATATATTATTATTATATTATATGATTATGGCGCCGATACGTGGTGGGAGTTAGGCGTTCTCCCCCACCCGTCCCCGATGGCGTACAATTTCAAGTTCTTTAAAATTAGCCAGCTATTCGGTTAGGTCAGTTCAAACTTCCAGTTCAATTTTACTACATATTGATGAAACATTCGGATGTATAATAATGGAAGGGAAATTTACGAGCCATTAGAAGTTACAGTGACAACGTAGACTTGGTCAACGTTTAGCCCAGACCGAATTGCTGGCATTCCAATTATTATTTCAGCCTCCAATCCGAATCATCGACTCGCGGGAACTCGAGTTTTGCTTTGGGCATTTTTTTTTCTAACTATTAAACTTTCATCATCGATACCTACCGTTGTCTATCCGAGCGTGCGTGCATGCGTAACTGCGTGATAAAAACGGAATTGGGAAAAGTACGCATGAGAATATTTGCAAATGTGTGTGATCGAGATATAAAAATGCTTAGTAATTGCGTACGAAGACGATGGAAAGTTTAACGATGATATTTGACTATTTTAAATGGAAGTATTTATTTATTTCGTCCGCTTTGAGCCTCGGTTGAAGAGAAGAAACGTTAGCTGATGTTTCACGTATCAACGTGGGGTGCAAGTCGCTCTGCCCATATGATTTTTCACATATTTTCAAATGAATATTTTTATACGAACGAATTAGGAATCAGCTTCAGTAGCAGCAACAGTAACAACAGATCTCCCTCGAGTTAGTTCCTAAGTACCCGTTGAAGATGCGATAACAAGAAAAACAAAACATACAAAAGAAACGAAAACAAATCTGCAAACAATCAATTTACAAGAAAAAGGATCGAACGTGAGTGTGATGTCAGTGAGCCAACAGCCAAATATTCAATCAGTCACGGTCTCTTTCGGTCAGTCGGGGCTCGAAGGGGTATGAAGGATGAAGGCGAAGAACGACAAGAAAAATGAATAAAGTGGAACGTCACGCCAGGTACGGCACGTATGCATATCGAGAATTTTGTATTCGCAAAATCAAGAATATATTTCTACGTTGATGATCTATGATCCTGGTGGCCCAATAGTTACGTGATCCGCCTAATTAATGTCCAGGAAGGAGAACAGTTGTCATTTCCGAACACTTAAAAGGAAAACCGTACCCGAAGGAATTGCGACATCAAAATAATCTTACGATTAGAGACTATCCTCTATCTAGATAAGGCGTAGTGAACGATGGAGTATGGATGAAATACATGGCTTGTGTACGCATACATAATGTATATGTATGACTTGGTGAGAATGAAAAAAATATATAATAGGAAAGCTCGCGGCTCCAATGCATTATCGTAGCGCCCGACTATTGTAATAATATTTTTCTGGAGGATTGAGACTTTCACGGTGCGCATGGTAAATATACGTGCGATAGAGAGAGAGAGAGAGAGAGAGAGAGCACGAATGTCTGTATAAGATATATAAAGAAATGAATGGATAAGAAATAATAATGCACACCGTAGAAAGATATCTTCCCCGTTGTCGCGTTACTTTTTAAAACAAGTAAGCAGCACGAATGTCTGTATAAGATATATTGAGACTTTCACGGTGCGCATGGTAAATATACGTGCGATAGAGAGAGAGAGAGAGAGAGAGAGAGAGCACGAATGTCTGTATAAGATATATAAAGAAATGAATGGATAAGAAATAATAATGCACACCGTAGAAAGATATCTTCCCCGTTGTCGCGTTACTTTTTAAAACAAGTAAGCGAAATCATTTTTTGAACGAGAGAGCATCCATGATATTTGCCTGTACCATAAGAGTGCGCGAAGCATAAAGAGGACTATAGCTGTAAATATTAAAGAGATAAGGATCGCGTACGCGTATGCTAGTGAAAATCGGGTAGTGTCGTCATCTATTTGAGAAAATTGATGTACACATTGTAGCGTACTACCGTGAAAGGTGATTACGTTATAAATGGTAGCGTTTAAACGTATCAATATACATACATCATGAAAACATTCATGTATCGCGTATACCACGCCCTGATTGGCCGACTTCAGATGCAGTCGCAGCAGCTGCTGCAACAACCTGATCTCCTCTTTTTACACGTCTGACACGTTACACTCAAAATACACTATACATTTATCTCATAATCATACAGTGTACTTGTATACAGAAAAATTTACGCACGAAACCTCGTGCGCATATAAATACACATACGTGACAATTACGCAACATAAAACTACATGTCAGTCCTGTGAATATGATTGTGCTCCGCTCATTGTCCAAGAACTTGCTTACGGTTTTACGTTTCTGTACATATTGTATAATCCGTGTATAAATATAATTATATTAATTATATACGTACCACTATAGCCAAATACGTTACGAATCATTATATCTATATCACTTCAACAATAAACCATTATTATTGTGATGGCGAATAGTGATTTGGCTTTTTCCAGAATCAATCCTAACCTCCAAATCTTGTTATAGCTGTTAAGGGGCATTAGTTATACCGTACTGAGGGGGGAATATGAGTTTTCTACCTAGCCGGCCGTACAGTTTGGTACAAATTATACAAGAGGGAAGAGCTCTTGTTAACCAGGGTAAGTGTGAGTCCGGGCGCCTAGCGATATGCAACCCGCTAAACTGATTACTGGATCATTTATGTAGTTTCCTACTCAGCGGGCCATTTACGCATTTTGGTAAGACTGATAATTCATAAGGCTTACGATTATAGTAATACCGGATAGATTTACAAAATTCATAAACTATATATAAAGAGTGTATCAGGTAAGATGCACGTTTGCAGTTTACTATGAAACGGTGCACGATTTCAAAAATCAGACGCAAACCCGTACACGGTGACTAAAAGGTATGACCATGTTTTTTTTTTTTTTTTTTTTTTTTTTTTTTTTTTTTTTTTTTTTTTTTTTTTTTTTTTTTTTTTTTTTTTTTTTTTTTTTTTTTTTTTTTTTTTTTTTTTTTTTTTTTTTTTTTTTTTTTTTTTTTTTTTTTTTTAATACAAGTTGAAAGGTACATATTCCAATTTGCATTCCAAGTATTCCTCGCCATTGATTTTGGAATCTACATGTTCCTAGTTGTCACTTTTGCATCCTTAACAGCCTCAGGCACCGATCTACAACTTAAACTCGTACGACAGGTAAACAGGAGGGGATATTTCAATTTGAGTGCCACGCTCTATGATGGATACTTACAGGATTATTTAGTTGCCTCGATCGACAAATAACTTGTAATCCAAAAAAAAATTGAATTACAGTACTTTTTAGCCACCGTGTAGAGGTTTGCGTCTGCTTGAACGCGTATCACGAAACAACTGCGAATAACATATTCAGCGTGAAGCTGCTGCACGAAGTTAGCCGTTCCGCCCGTATCGGGGATTTGTCCAAAAATTACCAAATCTCGAACGCAAATATCTCAATTCTGTTTCTTGTTTCTCTGCGATTTTCGTATTTACCTTTATTCGATATAATTTAAAATGGTAAAGATCATTGATTTATTTTCAAACGGAAATTAAACAAACAATAATAATATGCGCAATAAAAAATATATTTAATGTTTGCCGCATCAGATTTTCGAAATCGTGCACCGTTTCATGGCAAATCAAAATACATATATATATATATATATATATCACAGGTTTTCTGATATACGAAATAAATAACGAGTATGAAGCATTGAGAAATTTTTCCATTAATCGAGTTATCAAAAAAAATCTGTTAAAAATTATAAAAAAGTCACAGGTTTTCTGATATACGAAATAAACGGAAATTAAACAAACAATAATAATATGCGCAATAAAAAATATATTTAATGTTTGCCGCATCAGATTTTCGAAATCGTGCACCGTTTCATGGCAAATCAAAATACATATATATATATATATATATATCACAGGTTTTCTGATATACGAAATAAATAACGAGTATGAAGCATTGAGAAATTTTTCCATTAATCGAGTTATCAAAAAAAATCTGTTAAAAATTATAAAAAAGTATCGAAAAATTCTGTGTAATTAAATAATGAATCCAGAATGCATAGAGCGCTCGAACAATGTGGTAATTGGTACCACGTTAAGAGTTCGTCTTACGACTAATCATCATTGACCTTGAAAAATTTCTGTAGCAGTACTATGGCAGCTATACTTATGCAAGCAGTTACAATGTTATCAGCAAGTCGATTATTAAAAGGAGCACAGATGTAGGTAGTTCAAGTCCACGAGTACGACTTATTACCAGCAACACGAAAGGTAGGAGGTAGCGCGTGCGCGTTGACGTACTTGTATCGACCAGACTCAAGTCGAGGGAAATGTACAAGTTTGCATCGTTCAGCCAGCGCCTTGTCGCTACACGCGACCTGTGCAGCCCGGGAAAAGGAATAGAATAAGTTACATATCTTTCAACACAGGTTTCGGAAATTAAAAATATTAAGTTTATTTTACGATTGGCAACGCGTAAAAGAAACAATTTCGCTTTACACGTTCTGCGTCTTATGCAGTGATGTACAAAGAATGTCTCGACCCGAAGACTGTATTCTGTCAATGGATATTTGGACCTGGTGGAAGTTTTGGCTAGAATAGTCCTATAAGAAGATTAATGAATCATGTGTACTGTCAGGTTAGAATGAAGTTTCGGTCACCTTGCACAAGGAGGTTGAGCGTTTAAAAATTTGTATTGCACAAAAAATATTCTAAGGTAACGATATAATTTAATTCATTAATTAACTTGTAGTATAGAACTAATCAGACGAATAAAACTTTCTGTTCATTAGATTGTATTACTTGATCAGTGGTTGTTTGGAATCAAAGAAAATCTTCGAGAATCACGAGATACTCGTGGCATGCGTGCAGATCGTCTTGACGACGAGGTAAAGATCTATGATCTATAATCAATCTGCATGATAAATCCAAAGAGAGAAAAGTATTTATTATTTCTGAAATTGTAACCGATTAATATAAATGTTTTGTCAGTAAAATCTGATATGGTGTTAATCTTTGTCTGGCATATGATTAATTCAGTTTTCATAAATTTTTGAAAATCAAACTTCCATAGAGATAGTCAGGTAAATTATTAAGGAGAAAAGGAAGATCCAAAGAACTGTCACTTTAAAGAAACCATAACTGATTGTTTCTTTATACACAATTTTAATAATTCAGATTCACTGCTATTTTCGAGAATTCTAATAACCAGACAGATTTTTTATTTATTAGCTTGTCATATGGAATTGATATCTATATTTACATTACTGATTACTCGGCTTGCGATAAATTCCGCCAGTTGTTACTGTTAAGTATACTGGTGGGGGTTGATCATGGTGGGAGCTACCTTTAACAAATAACGCAGTGGCATTTGCACCAAAGTATTATTACGGTCGTAAAGTCGATTAACGTGGTGCTAGTGGCGCGCACAAGTACCGCATCGATTCCGAGTACAGTAAAACATTTAGAATATGGTGAGAAACGCATTGATTAGCTAGGTTTAATAAATATTAAATAAATTAATTAAGTAAAATGGTGAAATAGTCAGAAACGTCTTGCATAGGGATTCTTGGTTTCGCCAGGTACTCCTCCGCGTGGCCAAGAAAACGTGGGAGCAGGATGATCCTCGCGAGAGAGATGGATCGGCATTCGAGATCACCAGCCCGAAGGGAGGTTCACGATTACGGAGATGGCTAATAGCAATACTGATATTTCTATTTGTGTCCCTTGTTGCAATCAATAGCTTCACTATCGATCAATTGAGAATCGCCCGTCTTGGACACGTTTCGAATCAAGGTTTAAAGAATTCTTGTATTGTAATGCATGGTACTATACGACACGTCGCACGTGGGTGCATATGCTGATACAATGACTGTTTATCTGCTCTATCACTTTGCAGATAATAACACTCAGCATTTTATGGGAGGTCCAAAGCTGAATCCAGCCACTGGCTATCTCGTTCGTAATAAAGGCTGCAGAATACCAGCACTCGACCCATTTGATCCTGCTATACGTCGCTACGTGCATAAAGAGAAGCCGATAGTTTGTGATTTTGGTAACAACTTGCCTCTCGTCGAATCCAACGACAGTCACATCTTTGTGAATCCAGAAGCACGTGGCTTTTATTACAATAAGGATGAGAGGGTGAAGTGTTGCTGGCGAGAATTTTGGCGGGAAGCGAATAACGACGAATCTGTGACGTAGGTACTCATAAATCAGCATGGAATTAAGATTTGAACATTTTAATTATCTTTCGCAACGTACAGAGCAACATTCGTTACGTTAAAGTTTATACTGTAATGGTACGCTGGTTCCAGTGATATTTTTATTTATCTTCAATAGTTGTTTACATTCCTTTTATTGCATATTGAATAGATTGTTTTTCATGTTTCAAGTTCATGACGCCATTGTGATTTTAGTGCATTTTTATGAATTCTCACAGATTCGCCAAGGACTGCAATTATTTCGAGGAATGGGCAATCGTCACTGCGGAATTCATTAAAGTAGAATGTACAAAGAAGAACGAGAAAATATATCGAGATTATCACGCATTCGTACCGCATAAGCCGCAAGTAGAATCAAGATGCCAAAAAAAATTAGACACAAGAAAAGATGTTTCTCCACTAAGTGTTCTCATAGTAGGGTTAGACTCAATATCGCGTATGAATTTTCATCGAATGATGCCAAAGACTGTAGAGGCACTACGTAAACTCGAGGCCGTAGAAATGTTGGGATACAACAAAGTCGGAGACAATACTTATCCGAATATCGTACCAGTATTATCAGGATTATCACAAGAGGAACTTGTTGGACGATGTTGGGACAATCGCAAAAAACCATTCGACGAGTGTCCTTTCCTCTGGAAGAATTTCAGTGCGTCGGGTTACCGTACCATTTTCGGTGAAGACGCCTGCGAAATGACGACTTTCAACTATCTGAAACCAGGCTTTAAGAAACAACCAACGGACTACTATCTGCGGCCATATTGCATCGCTGCCGAACATGACATCGGCAATACTCATAAGCTCAATGCAGATATCTGCCTCGGTACGAGAAAGAATTTTGATAATTTACTGAACTATACTAGGAAGGTGATTAACAGCTTCGCCGAAGATCCTTATTTCGCTTTTTTCTGGCAATCTAGTTTAACTCACGATTTCTTCAATTTTCCACAACTTGGCGACGAATCTTATCGGCAGTTCTTTGAGTATGTTGGACGCGACGATCTCCTTATGAATACAGCCCTTGTTATCATGAGTGATCACGGTATGAGATGGGGGGATTTTCGACAGACTTATCAAGGAAGACTAGAAGGTAGCTTACCGTTTGTGTTTTTGGTTCTACCAAAATGGTGGAGGAAACGCTTTCCCGTTGCTTGGGCGAATTTACATAGAAACACTAGAAGTTTGACGACACCGTTTGATCTTCACGAGACTCTTCTTGATATTCTTCATCCGGAGAATCTTCGCGAAATGAATCTGAAAAATCGTACGAATATCCTGGGGTCGTATAATGGTGAAAACATACCTCGTGGTATTAGTTGGTTCCTTCCGGTACCTGATCATAGGACCTGTACTACTGCCGGGATTCCTGGACACTGGTGCATGTGTCATGATAGCAGAAACGTCTCGCTCAATGATCCTGATCTCCAAGGAATTTTAGATTTCTTCCTTCAGGAGCTCAATCGGATGCTTGCTGATTATCGCCAATGTGCGGTGCTCAAATTAAAAAGCCTAATGGACGCTAAAGTGTGGACTGGTAAGATTGAAGCGGATGACAAAAAAGCACCTTGGACTGATTATACTATCAGTATACAAACATATCCAGGTGACGCAATTTTTGAGGGCAGTATACGAAATCGGTTTGACAATAGCAGTAACAGTAACAACAGTAGCAATACCAAGGAATTGTTGGGGTCTATAAGTAGACTGAATACGTATGGCAAACAGAGTGCCTGCGTCGATGATTTCAACATGCGCCTATATTGCTACTGCCTCTAAGCTGGCATCACATATCTCAGATATTACGCCCATGTGATATTTTATAATCTCTTCATTATCGTATACATATTGTCTCCTCTAATGTTTCAGCGTTGACTGAAGAGGTAAATAGACTGGACATCTTATGAGATATAATACAATGGGAGCCTGTGTGTCGCGGATAGCTATAAATAGACTTATCCCATTATAGATATATATTCTACATATCAGATATAGATACATATATGTATATTCTACATATCAGAATCGTGAGGCGCAGAATATAGGAACATCTATAGACTATTTATATTCAGTCGGCTAAATTTAAGAATACGCCTCCCTCTATTTATATATTATATATATATATATATATATATTTCGCAGCTAACTTGAAGAAGGCGTATTCTTAAGTTTTACCAAAGAGTAAACTTCGAGTTGCCGGTTTTCCTTGTTCTTTCTTTTTTAATCATGGGAAGCACGTGATGCATGTATGTGGAAATTAGAATTTGGAAGACAAACAAGATTAAAAATGTGGTCGCTTACTAATGGCTAAGTGAATTTTCGAAATAAATTACGGTACTCATATAGAAGTGATATGAGAAGAATCTGTATGTTTTTAATTTAATTCTTGTAAATATCTATATTTAGGCATTATAATGGACATTTAAAAACACCATCGCGTACAATACACAAACGTTTCAAATGCAAAACTCTTATGTTCGTTCAAACATTCGCACATCACCCATATTCCACGAGTAACTAATAGAATTCAATTTATGGTTTGTTCCCGGCTTCACTGCACGGTCTTAGCTCACGAAAAGTTGACGTATTATACGATGCTGCTGAAAGCCACCAGTACAGATATTCCGGGAGTATGTACGCGTTGTTCACACATTCAGGTTATGTGCCTCGAAGTTGCGTTTGACACAGAGTCACCAATCCAGTTGGTGAATACCACGTGCGGAAGTCGAAGATGCTCGATGGTTTTGTTCGATTAGAACATACACGATGAACACAGATAAAATTCATTACGATACACGCACTTTGCATTGTCATTCGTTTGATAAATCTCCTTTGTAAGCGGAAATCTACGCTCCACGTATACCATTATAAACCCTATTTACAGAACTTTGTTGGAATAATTGCTTAATTTCTGTGAACAGAAAAATAATGCATTTTGAGACTGGTACATTCTTTTGGATAGTCTCTCAAAATTGCTTAAGAATTGACTTACGCTCTTTTTCTTCTGGTGTGAATTCCTTGTCTGGGAATGCCACATCAATTGTTACATATAGTGTACCATGGAGATTGTTGTTATCATAATTAGGCATTCCCTCACCCTTTTTACGAATACGAGCTCCAGGTCGTGTTACATTATCCCTTTGAATTGTGATCGTACGACCATCTAAATGTGGTATATCAACAGTAAAGCCACTGAGCGCATCTTGCATTGATACAGTAACATTGGTATACAGATCATCCCCAATCCTTTCAAATACAGGATGTGGTAATGTGCGGATCCTACAGATTGTTATTTATTACATTATTTCTAAATCATTAAACATGATTTTATTACAGACTGTATTTAGGCCTTACTTGAGAATCAGATCACCAGGTTCCCCATCTAGATGTGGCTCTCCTTCTGCTGTAAATACAGTTTCTTGACCATCAACCATACCAGGTTCTACTTCCACCTCCAAAACACGTTCTTCATTCACTAGTTTAACATTTGGACACTCAGAACAAACAGACTGCTGGGTAACAGTAAACCTTCCATTGCCTAGATGTCTGGAAACCAATTCTTGTCGACAATTACATTTTCTAGTTCCTTTAGCTGCTTTTACTACTGGTTTATTTCTTGCTATCTAAAATTTAAAATAATCAAAGAAATTAAATTTTATATTTATAAAAAGTTAAAGTATTAGAAATAATATTAACTGAATAAGTACCTCTATGAAATGTCCATTATATAATTCTTCTAATGTTACATCTATATCCATGATTATGTTGGATCCTTTAGGAGTTTCATGTTGATGATGTTGTTGCTCTCCACCAAAGTGAAAACCAAAATCCCCAAAGAAGCTGGCAAATGGATCCATGTTGTTCATAGAGCCATCCTTTTTCAAACATTCTTCTCCACATTTATCATACATCTCTCTTTTCTCAGGATCAGAGAGCACTTCATATGCTGCTCCAAGATCTTGAAATTTCTGTACGGCATCAGGTTCATCCTTGTTTTTATCTGGATGAAGCTCCTTTGCTAATCGCCTGTATGCTTTTTTAATAGAATGAGTGCTAGCACTTTTGGATAATCCAAGAATAGCATAGAAATCTCGCCTAAAAAAATTCATCATATTAAATCGACCAATGGATTTTAATTCATAATCGACTGACTAAGCTTTTACACAATATAGGATCAACAAAGCTATTTGAGACCAAACAGTTAGAAGCATAATAGGGAATAATTATTATAATTATACGCAGTTTTAAAAAGAATATATGACATTCACACAAACAAATTTAAAAACATTCTCTAAACTTACTCAGCACCAGATAGAAGAGCGCATATCGTCAAATTAAGGAAAAATATCCACAAAACTCTAATCGTTGCCATCGTAGCAGACGTTTCTGCAAGCCCCGGGTTTTGGATCGTGGTTGACGATGATTGGTCCACAACAATGGAGGCTTAGTCATTGATTACGATTGTTCACGAGTCAGCAACATACTTATTCAAGAAAAGACACCTCCTGCCATCTGAATTATGAAACCTTATAAAGGTATGTTAACAGCTTTGACTCCTTATTGGCTAAAACTAATTATATAAACGTGCTGTCGACGCACACGGCTTACTTTTGAACACACCTATAGTGCTTAGGAGCACGTAAAAACGTTTGCACGAACGGACCTATAGTTTAGCCAGAGATGAGAAGGGAATTGTACAACGCTACGATTTTAGGCGATACCAAAATCATGGCGCTAAATCGTAGCGGCGAGTCCGGGAGTAGGATTTTGTGATCATCAAGTCCGTCGACAATGCATATCCCGTCGTAGCCGAGCTGAACGTGATCACGAACGTGTAGCCTGGCCGGCAGAGGTACTCCGGAACTTACCGTTGGTTCTCAGAGCAACCCTTAGAATGAGGCCGCTCATCAGATATTGCTTAAATATGTATTTATGCTTAATTCGATGAACTGCCTAGTTGTAAGGGTTTCTCTGAGCAGAGATAAGCAGGGAGATGTACAACACTCCAGTTTTCAGCGGTACCAAAATCATGCCGCTAAATCGTAGCGGCAAGTCTGGAAGTAGGATTCTGTGATCATCGCTTCGTCGACAATGCAAATCCCGTCGTTGCCGAGCTAAACGTGAACACGAACGCGTAGCTTGGCGGGCAGAGGTTCTCCGCTACTCACCGCTGGTACCCAAAGCAACTCTCAGAACGAGCCTGGGAAATATAGAACTTCTCAAGAATTATTGAAAAAGCTTATTGTTGAAATATTTTTAAGACATTTTTAAGAAAGTGCCAACTTGACACCCGTGTAGCACCTCAATTTTTACTAAATATTATTGGACCTTGATTTACTTTCAAAATTTATTCAAAATATAAAATTGAAGCTAAATAAAAATCTCGCAGAATATACGGAGTAGATCAAATTTGAATTGAAATTGTAGAATATCGAAAATAAATTACATTCAAATTGAAATATTAATAAATTAAGTGTTTGTAACATTAAAAGAATTAATTAAATCAATAAATTAAAATATTAACACTCAGAAATCGGAAATTCAGGCCAAACATATTTAGAAATTACTGGAAGTTGCCCAAAATTGTATGCGCGCAAATTCGTCGCGGCAGGACTCTGGGAGTGGGAGATGGCGGAGAGTGGGGGTGAGCGCTGGAGGCAGCGCCCGGACTCCGAGCGCTCATTCTTCCTCGAGCCCTTCTCGGTCTTCTATACTGGTCTCTTGGAATCATTACTCTTATTCATTTTCAACATTCTTCTCTTTCTATATTTATTTCTTCTTTACATTCATATTTCTTTATCTGTCATTCTTTACTTTGTAATTTATCTCTTTCTTTATTTCTTCTCTACTTTTATATTCCTTACTTTTCTACTTCTTAACTTCTTTATTTCTATCTTCCCTTCTGTCTTCTCGTTTCATTCTATTCCCTCTCACTTTCCATTGTGCTTGTTTTACTTGTCCTATTCCTTTGGTCGGGTCGAGCATATTAATTCAAGTAGTCATATAAGAGTAGTCACCCTGTTAGTGCAGCTAGACTTAAGACCATGGTGTCGGGGGTTGCCCTTCCGCCTCATCCGCTGAGCTTGCTCAGTGGGTCGGGCCCAAGTTGTGGCCGCAACAGGACCTTATGGGTCTCCCGACGGGGGCCTTGAGCCCCCTTAGGGTATCTACGGCCATGGTCTTTCGTATAGTGAATCTAGCCAGGTGTCTAGCTCTCGCGTATTTAGTATCTAAAAACACTCCAACATGTCGTTGACCCTTGGGCACTTGTGTGGGTAGAGACGATCCTATGTGTCGGTGGGGAGGTCGGAGGGGTAGTCCGTTGACTCTGGGTAATTCTTGAGAAGTTCTATATTTCCCGGGCTCGTTCTAAGAGTTGCTTTAGGAACCAGCGGTGAGTAGCGGAGAACCTCTGCCCGCCAAGCTACGCGTTTGTGTTCAAGTTTAGCTCGACAACGACGGAATATGCTTTATCGACGGAGGAGATGATTACAAAATCCTACTTCCAGATTCGCCGCTTCTATTCAGCACCATGAGTTTGATATTGCCTAAAATCATAGCGTTGTGCATCTCCCTACTCATCTTTGTCTATACTTTGCAAGGATACCATACGTAATACGTAATTTTGGTTGGATATGTGAGAAATGAGAAACTTGTTTCTCTATTTGCATTTATCCTTCACAAGTAGAAATGGATGTAACTGAGCCCAAGATTGTCTTTGTTGAGGGCCGACGATATCGGGTGTTTGAAAGTGAGGCGTGGTCGAAGGATCGTGGACGATCTACGTATGATGAAGAATCTTATGAGCCTGGTGATGATAGCGTTATTGATGAATGTAATGACGAGCAGATTGTCATAGTACCGACATCAGATGGACATTTTAAACATGAGTTTTACGTGCCCAAGTCAATAACATTATTATTTTTCGTCAAATTTTCTTTTGATGTCATGTAACTGAAAATGTTTTTTATCGTTTTTTTTTCAGACCCTATTTCCCATTTATCATTGGTGTGAAACATGCGACGCGCAAAAAGTTTGAATCTGATACTGCAACTTCTATATCAATACCAAAACTGGGTTATGATGGAAATATAGGTAAAAGGTTAAAATTACTTTATAAATTTTAAAAATTACGAATGTATTAAAACTAATTTGAGAAGTTCAACGATATTTTACGAATGAATGAATATCACTCGTTGGTTTTGAAATTTACAGTAATAAGAGGTCGCAGTCGACGGGGAATCATCAGCGCGAGAAGACGAATCGATCTTTTAATAGAATCAAGCACAAAATCATTGCCTGTAACCCATTTCTTGTCAATACCAATGTTTGGGGATTCCATACGTCAGAACTTCAATGCTTTCAAGGAAGATGTTCTTAGGAATAGTAAAACAAATGCAGTAGGGGTGGATGAGGATATTTTTCAACGGCCGCATTTATTGCATCTTACTTTAGTCTGTCTCATTCTGTTGGATGAAAAGGAACATAAACAAGCAATTGAAACATTTAACGCATGTGAGACAGAAATTGTTAGGTATGCAAATTCTATACATGCAGCACTTAAATGCCAACTAACAATTCTTTGATCTTAGACCTTTCCTCCGTGAAAATGGACCGATTTCCATCAAGTTACAAGGAGTTGAATGTATGAATGACGATCCGTCTGATGTAAACGTTTTATATACAAAAATACAAACAAAAGATGACAATCTGAACAAATTAGTTGATGAAATTTATGAATATTTTTATCAGACAGGTAAAGTATATGAAAAGTGTAAAAATAGAATCGTTAATAAATCTTAGGTTAACACGATCACGCCGGCGTGTACCACTGGCGGCTCACGGCTAGTTCAAGTACTTTATTAAAAAAATGCGCCGGCGTGAACGTATTAAAATTTTTCATTATAATATTACTGTTTATAGGGTTAACACGCAGGGAATACAAAACTATTAAACTTCATATGACTATAATGAATTCAGCATTCAAATTTAAAGGTGAAACACAACCAAGTTACAAGAAGCGAAAATCGTTTGATGCAACTGAGATCATAAAGGTGGTAATATTTTTTGTTTTTTAAGATTATTGAAAAAAAGAAAATTGCCTACAAAATTGTCGTATTTCAGGCTCACAAAGATACATATTTTGGTGAAGTTAATTTAGAAAGCATTCATCTTTCACAACGTGGCACATCAACTGAGGATCATTACTATCGAGCGAGTGCCGAGATGAATCTCAAAGACTGTTACTGATCTATGCACAGACATAATTTTTGTAATTTCGCTATAGTATACAGTTATACATACATTAGTTTCAATGTAAAATAACTTACAATAAATTCCGCAAAGATTAACATGTTCGATCATCCCCACTAAAGTACCATTAAAAATGTTTTGATTGAATAAACTAATAATCTGATATACACATATAGAATAGTATATATTTTAATAGCGAGAATATTTTAATTAAAAAAAAATTATTGACAAATAGAAATAGTATAATATTGATTTGGCTATGTGTGTCTCACAGGGTTTGTTATTTCATGCATTCCGAATTATATTGTAATAAAATTAGAATGTTGGACCACAAGGGACCGATCACTGTTAGTTGCATTGGCTGCTACTAGAGTTCCCTGAAAGACCACGTACGTGACTACATACTGCGCATGCGCTTCTTCGAGTGGCGCCTACAAGCAACATAAGTGGGAGAATAGTAGCGCTTCGCTTTTCCATCCTCACAATCAGTTGCAAGCAAATGGCGTCGTACAGGTGGAGATCGTTGCGTCAAACTTCCAAAATCATGAATGAACACTAAGTTTTATGATGAATTTGAACTAAAGTAAAGAGGACTTCAATCGCGGTAAGTCTCTTTGATCCTTTGAACATATTATATACATTGTATCTATACAATTTTCTACGTACAATGACGATTTTTAAGTTGTGTCATTAGTTTGTAAACAAACACGGTACCAACAAAGTGCTGTCATAGAATTTTCCAAACTTTCCGTATACATTTGCATCAGACTCAAAGCAAATATAATTTCTTTTATACGGATACATTGAATGTAATATTTGTTTGTAGCAACTATAATTAAGATATTCATATAATCATGTGTAACTTGTTCCTAAACAGTAGCATGTACTTCCTTAAATTGCTTTTAATGATTTATCACACATTTTCTTCACTAATTTTGTAATTGAAGAAGTGTTATATATTATTATTTACTTTTTAATATTGTTTCAGTGTACGAGTAACGTATCGCGATAAAAATCTTGTCTGAACAATGAATGAAGTGAGTGGGGGGAAACAAGAAATGGCAAGTACCTCAGCTTGGGAAACATTGTCAGGACAATCTGTTCCATCACTTCCCGCTATGCACCATCATCATCAGTCTCTTCAGCAGGAATCAAACCCTCCAGTTACGCAAGTGATAGTTCCTACACCAGTGAAGCTGCAAGCACCCGTACTACCACCTCCACAAAATGTCGTGGACCATTGTACACAGCTTGCTCATATTCAACAGCCATCCTTACTTCCTCAGGTAAAAAGAAATTTTTATTTCTACGAAAAATTAAACAGAAGGTGTGTTATAATGAGAATTATATTGTTATATGTATATATTTAGGTCCCAAACCCTGGAGGTTTCGCAGAACCTGAACTTTCACCAGAATTACAGCAACAAGGTTGGAAAAAATTTTGGAGTAAGCGGGAGAATAGGCCTTATTTCTGGAATAAATTGACTGGAGAATCTTTGTGGGTTGTACCTTCTCTAAAACCACAGGTGCTTACCATAGTTACGATAAAGTACAATTTTTGTTATCTGTGATATGAGTATATAACGTTAAAATTTTTCTTATTTTTTCAGTTTGATCCCATTACGGATCCACTTGGTATTTGCGGCGTAGTACCTATCCCGGGGAATGGACCTATACCTCCAGGTACGCCTGGAGGTACGTTAAAACGTCGCGCATCCGAGGACGGAAATACAGTTCCACCAGCTAAAAAATTTGTACTAGCGTACGTATATATAATTTGTAATCGTCTTTATGGTATATTTTATCACAGTAATCCAAGTTAACTAATTAAAATAAATAAACATAATTAATCGCATTAATTAACACTAGAGCTTCCAAATATTTCGCAAGAAACGTTAGGCGTGCAGGCTTCCTCATTAAATTGCACCTTTACTATATTAAAAACGGAAGTATTCTATATTTGTAAATTTTACATTTTATTACACAATTTCATTTTTTTTTTCACACAACGATTCAACAGTTAGTCCAATATCAGTATCAAAGGTACACACGCGCATATGTGACCTCCATTTGCTTAATGGTACATTCACAACACATTTGCTGTATAGTCCTACTTTGCCCCACTTGAAACCTGTAAGACTTAGAAAAATCTTTAAAAACTTGATAAGTTTTTCTTGTATGGACCAACAGGGGGCCGTGGGATTTGGAGATACCAACAAATGTAATTATCTACGAAAGAGCGCCGTCGAATTTACCTCACGTCCACCCTGAAGCAGAGGCTCTAAGATGCGGTCTACTTGCCAAGTTACGACAATGCTACCAAGAACTATGCCATACTCGAGAGTCGATTGATGCTCCAAAGGATTCGTTCAATCGTTGGCTAATGGAACGCAAAGTAATAGACTGCGGTTCCGATCCGCTCCTTCCAAGCCAATGCTTCCCAGAGATCTCCATGTCCATGTATCGGGAGATTATGAACGATATTCCCATAAAGCTGGTCAGACCAAAATTTACGGGCGATGCCAGGAAGCAGCTCTCGCGCTACGCCGAGGCAGCTAAAAAGATGATTGAATCTCGTGCAGCTTCTTCTGAGAGCAGAAAAGTCGTCAAGTGGAATGCAGAAGACACATTTCAGTGGCTGAGGCGGACAGTGGGTGCAACATTTGACGACTTTCAGGATAGATTGGCTCATCTGAAACGACAGTGTCAGCCTCATCTTACAGAAACTGTTAAAGTTAGCGTAGAGGGTATCTGCCTTAAGATCTACCACCTTTCTACAGAATACGCGAAGAAGGTGAAAGATAAAAATAATCAGATCCTCAAGGATAATGGACTGGGGGATGTCATACCATTGGGAGGTCCTGCCAGTACTCAACGTAAAGTATGGTGCTATCCTGTGCAGTTCTCTTTACCAGGACCTCGACTTCCTCAGATTGACTATCTCCCTGAAAGGGAGCAGACTATGCTGCGCTTCCACGGCGACGCAATGTGCATCAATAATGTTCACCTGACAAAGCTGGAACACCTCTACAGGTACAACTGTTTTGATGACAAGAAATTCGAAATGTTCCTGCCACGAGTTTGGTGTATGCTCAAGCGTTATCAGACCTATCTCGGTATAAACGAAGGTCAAGCAACTCAAATGGCACTACCTGTAACCGTCTTCGAATGTCTTCAACGATCATTCGGCGTGACCTTCGAATGCTTTGCCTCGCCCCTCAATTGCTACTTCCGGCAGTACTGCTCAGCATTTGCTGATACGGATTCTTATTTCGGATCACGTGGACCCTTTCTTGACTTCAGGCCGGTTAGTGGATCCTTTCAAGCTAATCCGCCTTACTGTGAGGAATTAATGGAAGCAATGGTGAATCATTTTGAGAGACTTCTTTCTGATTCTGCGGAACCCCTTTCCTTCGTCGTCTTTCTCCCGGAATGGAGAGATCCAGCACCTAATGCCTTAATCAAGCTAGAAGGCAGTCACTTCAAACGCAAACAAGTAGTAGTACCTGCGATGGAGCACGAGTACAGACATGGCTTCCAGCACGTCTTACCAAAGTACGCTTTTACCATTTTTTTTACTCAAAAACTTAATCCACCTTAATTATCCTAACACATTTCTCTACAGAGGTGAAGTAAACATACGTGCTGCTCATGGAACTTTAGTCGTCTGGTTACAAAATGCAGCTGGTACAGCTCGGTGGGGACCTACCGAGGAACGGGTCGAAGCACTACTGGAGGCTTGGCGACCTGGAAGAGAACGAGAGCGAGACAGGCAAGAACTCTTGTCTCCGCCGAGGCAAACACATCAACCAATACCGGCTACTCCGATTCAGGTACCGTCTGCACCGCCGACAACACCCACTGGTGCACCCCTCGTACCTTCTACATCTCCTGTTTCGAGTAACTCAACTTTATCCACGCTTTCGACACTTTCTTCCCATCCGATGTAGGTACGACGACTAAGGGAGGAAAAAGATTATATGAACGAGAATAATACGTATGGTACATAGAGAATCCTCTAGTACATTGCCAAGAGGAAGGTTTAATACTACTTGTTATTGTAACGAGAGTCGCGAAACAAATATGTATCTATTATATAGGTATCAAAAGAAGTACGTTGTGTTTAGTCTGTATCCTTCGAAGAGTCCGATGTTGTGTGACAGAGTGTTTATTGTTGCCGATCATTACGTCGGCCTTTTCTAAGCACGTGGACTATCCCCATAGTGGATATTCTTGCCATGCAAGCTGAACATATGAAATTAGCACGAAAATTTTCGGGACAAAAAATTAAATAAAAGTAGCACATAGACAAATCGGAAGAGGATAAGTTTAAAAAAGATTAGAATATGTTTAGAAACTAAAAGAAATATCTTACAGATACTAGAATTCATTTAAATCGGTCGCTTCGTTATTCTAATTCATTTCTTCTTTTTGTTTTGCTCTTCCAATTTTTTTATGGCCGCATTTGAAATTGATCATTGTTCAGTACATAATTTGCTTATGTAACATTTTTTGAATTTTTTTTCTGTTTATGTATTACATGCACGTATGCATACTATGAAATGAAGCTGACTACGCGATCAGATAAATTTGATTGAACTTCCAAAAAATTAGTTTAGAGTAGTGTTACTATTAACTCATTTCATTGAAAAGGAAAGAACAGAGGAGCAAAGCGCACAATCGCCATGAAAAGATATTTGAGACGTAAATTTTATAGAATATTGCTCAAGCAGAGAGATATTGTTTTACACGATGACACGCACCCGAATAATCATTATTATCATTGATAAAGAAGGATCCCATACGGGAAAAAGTTTTTTTTCTTTTCGTGTCAAGCATATCTACCGAGGGGTACTGCAATGTATCTTCTACTATAAAGGAAAAGAAATGGCACTGTAAAAATAAAAGCATATCAATTAAGTGAACGCGGAATACATTAGCCTCCTTACTTCCAAAAGATATGATAGTGAGTCAAAATCATCCAAATAGTCTTAAAGATTCGTTTTTTCGCTTTATTCGAAATAATAACGATTCATGCGCATTAGAACTTGAGGCAAATTAGTGGATTTACATTGACTGTTTCTTTTCCCTATATTTTTTTCTGTATTGGAAATACAATGCTTTGTTTTTTTTTGTATTCCCAGTAAATTAATACATGCTTAATGCTTTGTTCTTTTTGCGTTGCTGGTAAGTCGATTTCTTTGAATGTTTAACTCCATAGAGCTCGGATTAACTTGTACGTCTCATAGATTTTGTACATTTTTATTGGTAGTGTACTCTGTATATAGATATACATATATGATATATATCTTTCTAGCGATCCCAAGTTTAACAATATATTTATGCTTATACGATCGGTAGCGAGTAAGACAATACGTGAAATGTAATTTTAGGTTCTAATTGTAAGTGTAACAGCGTTAGTTGTTTTGTATGATGAGAATGTTTCACGCGCATTTGATGGTGGAGTTTAGCATGAGCAAGAGTTTGACTTGAGCTCCGATCGTGACTTCTTGTTTGGTAGATATCATATTGGTGCGATTTAATTATAATCGAGACGAGATTATTTATCCCTTGGAATTAAATGATACATCCTCGGGCACCCTCGAGCGAAATAAAAATAGAAGCTCATCCGAGAAATGCTATGGAACTTCGTTTAATTTCAGCGGAAAATCTTGAGTGCATATTACACTGTAAACAACGAGGAAAATGATTACCCAGACGGCTATGCAAATGCCGGATGTCCTAGAGTATATAAAATACGTTACGTTGAGAATTACGTTGTGCAATGTTTTTAATATTTTAATTCGAGAAATGAACGACGTGAGCTACGAATTGTAAAAATCGTAGCCATTACGGTGACTCATAGAGTCCTATTGTCTTTCAATTCCTAATACGTAAACAATAATGTAATGGCACTTTCGTCGAATGGTGTATCAAAAAAAAAGTGCCTCAGCCGATGTTCGCGGGTAAGACATTTTTCTCGTCGATCACCATTTTTAACCTTTGTCAAAGATTTATACTTCTACAAGATCTGGATATTCATTTTTATGAAAATTTTAAGTTTTTCTCACTCTCAGCAGCTGTACAAACGCTAAGTGTATACATGAGAAAATTGTTGTTGACACCAGTGTCTTATCTTTTTCTCCTCTCCTCTTTAGAAGACTCGAGGCTTTTGGATTTTTCGAATTTCTGGTTTTGTTTACTGCAACGTATTCTATGGCTGTCGTAAATACTTTGCATACCTTAGCACGGTCGCTAGCAAGATTGCACAATTTATTTGAAGTCTTTGATAAAGAAATAACAATATCTGGCGTTTAACGACAGCGGATAACACACAATTACATACAAATTTGTAATTATAATTTGGCGAAAATAAATAAGAGAGCGAAGATTTTAATATGATGTAAATTATGAGAAAATTGTTATAACTAGAGACAAATAAATTGGTCTTATTTATAAAATAACAATCTCTTTATATTGCCATTAACAACTGCAACATTTTATATTACAATACTTCATTAATTCTATGTAATAAATTTTCGGGCTTATCCGGCTCAAAGACGTGAGGGTACATAGACGTGTCCATTGCATCATGTAAAAGATCTTCGAGCACCCTTTTTATTTGACAAAGATCGAAAAGGCAATGGTTTCTGCCAAGTTTCCACTTCTGGAAGAATGTTAAACTTACGGAAATTCTTAGGTGTGATAATCGGATCTCAGCAATGTACAAAAGGAATCGCCAAAATTCATGATAATTCATTCCGTGTGAGAATTTAAGTGCACGCTCTATATCCGTCCAATCATCGACAAACTCAAGGATGGTCATCCTTACCGCTGCCATCTCTTTTTTCAAACCCAGCCAAACCATCCAAATGTTGCAGGAATTAATCCAGTTGTGACTGAGTGATATTGTATCCTCCTGTTTGTTCATTTTTATTTTGTTATATAATTATCTAAGTTCAGTTTCACCAGGTATATGCATAGTTACCAAATTCCAAACTTGATGATACCACCCGGACGGTATGAATACAATCTCCCCAGCTTCCTGTATAATCTCGTACCGCTTTATGGAGCTTAAATCATGTTTTTGATATGTAGGAATCCTAGAGAGAGTGTCTTCTTCATCTGTACTAGAGTCATACAAGAAGTACCCATCGGCATTGGGTAGACGGGTTTCTTCTCCTGGTGGAAATATGTGCCAAAGTTTTTTGCCAACGATATTCGCCGACCAACTATATGATCCAAAAACGTCCATATGAAAGGCTGTCCTTAAGAAGAAAATGTCAAAAAGATATCAGCGATTCCCCGTCACGATACACTCGTGGTGCAAAATAATTTCTGAGTAATAACTTTAATTCCTAAATACCCTGAGCCTTTTGGTCCCATATAAACGAATTTATAATCGCCAAACGTGGACGAAGAGGAAACATAATACTCATTGACCCAGTCAGAAGCAAAGTATTTCGGTATTTCATAAACAGGCACGTTCGGATTTTCAATCATACAATGCCAATCCTTTAAATATAAAAGTGGCATATCCTTTGAGTAGCCACTTCTTCGATAGTCAATCCAATAGTCCAAATAGTCATTGATATTCATGGTCTTTGCTTTCCCAGAATCCATCAACTGTATCGTTTTGGTGCAGTCAACAACAATTGCCGAAGACGTACCTAATGTAGTATTCAGTCAATGGTATTCAATTGTGTTAATTCACCGTGAGATATAATCTAGGTCGGTGCTTCTATCAAACTATACGATAAAACTCCTTCGAACTCAACAGTGCTGATGTAATACTTGCCGAATAGTTCTCTGAGTAATTCAAAATTTGGCGCATTTTCAGGCATCCTCCATCGTTTCTTCGATGGCCAGTTTTCCATGAGACCCGAACGAAATAAACATGGTCTGTTAGCGCGTAAACATTTCCAAAAGAATTCATTGTACGTCAGTCCAGGATCAAGATTGATCAATGGTTCTATTTCTCCAGCTTCATTCTCACATTCCTCCTTTTCTATGATATCTATCGTTTCCTCTTCCATTCTCTTGTTTATCTATCTCTGTTCCTCTGTAATGTCAGGTTACCTCTAAACGATTCTACTCCAACAAATATGTCGCTGTGTACCGTAATTTCTTATGCCGGATTTTCATGCAAGCGACCAAGGAATATTTCCACGTAATCTCAACATGGCGTCCACCTCTGAAGTACTATCTTTTGGCGTCGTGCACCTATTAAAGTCTACATTAGGATCTGACTGTCAGCTGATCTGTGCTCCAACTGAGCTTTACACATATACTCCATTATAAAAATGTTTAAAATTCTGACAGCTATAGTTGTATAGAATTATGGAGCAGTGCAGATCGCGTAAAATAAATCCAAACAATGAATGTATATCGTCCATAGCACTGTCTCCAGGATTATTGTGCCCAATAATTAGAAATTCTTGAAAGGTAGAATTCTAAAGCAGAATAACACATGATTGGCTCAAATAAAATATCAAATTCTCATCGGTGTATTTCTTTAATATACATATGTATATCCAGGCAAATTATAGTCTCGTGAGAACCATTGGAAATTAGTGAAAACAATGTTACTCTTAATGCCTTTTATTCTGGTTATAATTCAATGTGAATTATCAACTGGTAATAAAATTAAAACTGATATTGATCCATCAAAAACGATCATCTGGGGACCTGGTTTACGATCCGAAGAAGTTGTTATGCGTGCTCGATACATCTTCCTGCAGCTTTATGATACGGACGGAAAAAAGTGAGTATTCTTGGATGTGCAGAACTTTGATTGAATCGGCTGTATATAAACAAGTGTAATGGCTTTGATCGTTTCATTGTAATTTGTTTCTTTTCTATTTTTTAGCATAACTGAATCACCTGGGGATGGAATTGTTATGACACAGATACAGGGTGAGACTGAGGAAGGAAATCCATGCCATCTATGGAAACAAGTTTTTGATTGCAAGGATGGTAGCTTTATAATACGGTATAAAATATATAGAACGTGTTACAATTTGAATATTATATTGCGAATCAAGGGCAAAGATGTACCAGGAACGCCTTTAACATTCAAAGGCATGTATATATTGTTTGAAGGTTTTTTTCTCTTTGGTTTTCTAATTTTAATATAAAAATTAGTTACTTTTAGGACCGTTGTATGAAGAGGAATGTGACTGTCCAAATCCATCAATAACTAATTGGTTGAATAATTATGAATGTCCGGAAAATTATGAACAAATCCAGCGTGATCTTGCACCATTTGAAAGCGTCGATTTCGATGAAATGAGAAATGCAATTATCCAGAGATTTGATAGGCCAAACAGTGTCAGCATTTGTCATTACATAATAAAAGATAACAAAGTATATATCATTTATATAATACTGGTTAATTTAAATTAATTATATTTTGTTAATTTAACTAATCTGATCATTTTGTGTACCAGGTATACAGAAGGTGTTATGGGCAGCACGTTGATTTCAAGATATTTGTTGATGAAATTTTCTTATCTTTAGCGCGGAAAGTAATATTACCCAATGTGGAATTGTTTTTCAATTTGGGAGATTGGCCGTTAGTTTCCAATTCTGTTCCAATTCATCCAATTTTTTCCTGGTGCGGATCTAACGATACAATGGATATTGTTCTTCCGACGTACGATATTACTGTAGCATCTCTAGAAAATATGGGCAGGTAAAAATTATTCTTACTTACCGATCATCCAACGATGTAATTTTTCGAAGTTATGTTATAATGGTCCAATCACAGGGTAATGTTAGACATGCTGTCGGTACAAGGTAGTACAAATATACCATGGCAGAATAAGAAGGAAAAATTATTTTGGAGAGGCCGAGACTCGCAAAGAGAACGTCTCGATTTAATAGACATCGCACGAGAACATCCAGATCTTTTTAATGCTTCAATCACCAATTTTTTCTTCTTTAAAGATGAAATAGATAAATATGGTCCTCGTCAGAATCACGTATCTTTTTTTACTTTCTTTGAGGTAAATATATTATCCTACATGATCTTCGTGTAATCCTACTGAAAAGTTACAAATATTTGTATCATTTTTCAGTACAAGTATCAACTTAACATCGATGGTACTGTAGCAGCATACAGATTCCCATTTTTGCTTGCCGGCGATTCTCTTGTGTTCAAACAAGATTCCAAGTATTATGAATATTTTTATAAGGATCTGAGACCATATGAACATTATGTACCAGTTAAGAGAGACCTATCGGATCTCGTGGAGAAAATTCTCTGGGCGAAAAAACATGACCAGGAGGCTTACAAAATTTCTAGGACCGGTCGACAATACGCAAGGAAGAACTTGCTACCTCAAAATATCATATGTTACCACGTAGTTCTGCTACAGGTAAATGAATAATAGATCTTTTACATACATCAATACATTAGTGATGTATTACAGGAATGGAGGAAAAGATTGAAGAACCGTGTAAATATACTTCCTAATATGGAAGAGGTACCACAGCCTGAACATGCATGCAAATGCGAAAGCGGAGTAAACCAGGAGAATTACATAAAATCTAAGGATGAGCTTTAGCGTAAGAATTCTTTGTGATAGTTATATATAATGTAAGTATCTCCTCACATCTAATGTCTTTTTTTTGTGTACTAATGAGTAAAATGATTTAAGATTCATGACACATACATTTATTCCTCGTGTTTACAGCAATTTTTCGTAAAGTAATTACTTGATATTTACATCTTGAGTAAAGTAAAACACTGTCAAGCCATCTATTTTTCTTCTAATATCAATCAGACTTTTTGAGTAACTTAGACAAGTAGTTCGCTTCGTAAAGAATATTGTTGACAATCGTAGTTACTTTTTTTTTTGTAATAGATTGCAGATTTTGTAATATGTATCACCGAGGAATGTTAACGTTACGCTTACCATAATAGCAATTAAGAATTTTATAAGAATCCAAATAAAATTACAAAATAGTTTACCTGACTGCTAAAAGTCGCAACAATGATTAAAGCTTATACAGAGAGAAGATAAAGACGAAGCTATAATCTCGAAATGGCGCATAATTATATTCAATTATATTCGGTAAAACTTATACCTGGAAGTAAGACAATAAAATCTTTCAAACCACCACGATAGTTAAAATCCATACGATTATCAGATAAATGGAAGCTGATTATTTTTAATCGAAGCTTTTTTTATCTGTATCCAATACTTTTTTTTTTGCGAATGATGCGATATGCTACTTAAAAGTACATTCACTTTCGATGAACATGATCCTGTGTATGTGTATTCACGAAACACGCATATGTCTTTATGTAAGATTTTTCCCCTTTTCCCCGATTAATAAACAAGGACAATATAACTTGTCCAGAGTATAAGTATGTATTAGCGTCATTATCGCAACAGAAATGTCGAAATAAGAGATGAACAGAGAGTATAATAACGTAATCAAGGAAAATATGTTGATTAACCAATTGAATCAAACAGAGATCTTGCTTACTGAGGAGGTGGTTGGTAGCCGTAACCAGCATACTGATTAGGAGGAGGTGGTCCTTGAGGTCCGGGTGGCGGAGGCATATGTCCACCGGGTGGACGTGGTGGGTATTGTGGATATCCCTGCCCTGCAGGTGGTGGTGGATAAGTCTGAGGAGAATACTGAGTATGTCCGTAGTGTTGGCCTGCTTGAGGGGGATGCGGAGAATAAACTTGGGGTTGTCCTCCAGGTGTGGGAGGAACGTAAGTTTGTGTAGTAGCAGGATGAGATTGCGGTGGTCCATAAGCTGATTGAGGTTGAGGAGGGCCTGGTGGCGGCGGTGGGCCTTGAGTCGGACCAGATGGGGGCTGGAAACCACTTGGAGCAGGACTAGGTGATTGTTGCTGCTGCGATTGCTGTTGCGAATTTTGTGACTGTTGTTGAGATTGTTGGGGCGGCGGCTGGTGAGGTGGTTGATGCTGGGCCTGGTGTGGGGATTGATGAGGCGGCGGTTGATGTGAGCCTTGATGCGACGGCTGATGAGGAGGCTGATGAGGACCAGAGGGATGCGGTGGTTGATGAGGAGACTGATGTGGTGGTGGATGAGGTGACTGATGAGGAGGTTGATGTGGTGGTTGATGTGGTGGTTGATGTGGCGCCTGATGAGGTCCCTGATGAGGTGGCGGATGAGGTGACTGATGGACCGGGTAGCCTGCAGGCGTTGGCCCCGGCGGAGCATAACCTCCGGCTTGAGAAGTTGGCGGTGGTCCACTGCCTGGAGGATAAGTTTGGGTGGAAGCAGAGGGAGTGCTTGTAGGCTGTCCACTCTGAGCATAAGTGTTTCCTCCACTTGCTGAGGACGTACTAAATGGAGGAGATGTGGACGCAGGTCCTCCATATGGAGTAGGGCCTGGTCCTGGACTGGCTTGGTTCCCGTAGTTAGGTTGCGGTCCTGCGTTTTGTTGTGGCCCAGGCTGTGGCGGCTGAGCTCCTGTTGAAGTTGGTGGCGGAGGATAACTTTGAGGGGGAGCATTGTTCGGATAACCTTGAGCAGATGGAGGAGGATAGTTTGCTGATTGATTAGCGCTGTACGCATTCTGAGGAGGAGGCTGAGATGGCGGTTGTTGATAACTGGGTTGCGGACTGGGACTTCCATACTGTCCAGGCTGCTGTTGCTGTCCGCCTGTGGGAAAATTCTGCTGCGACGAGTTAGGTGGAGGATATCCCTGCTGATTTGGAGGCGGCGGCCCATAACCAGTTGGCGGCTGAGTTGAACCAGGTGGTGGATAACCTCCTGGTTGTGGACCATAGCTATTAACTGTAGTTGGCGGTCCATAGCCCGGTTGATTTGGACTGGGATAGCCCTGCTGCTGCGACGGGGCAGGTGGTCCATATTGATTTGGCTGCCCTGGGGTATAAGCAGAACCTTGGGGTCCTTGATAGTTGCTGCCAGGGTTTTGATTAGCATATGGCCCAGGATATCCTTGTTGGGTTGGTTGCTGTGGATATCCCTGTGGACCTCCTCTATATTGTTGTGGAACTGGCCCTGCAGTTGGACCTTTTCAATAAAACAGGTATTAATATATAAATCAAATTACATAGTTACAGTGACGTATTAATCAAATTAACATACGGCTCATAGCAGGACCTTGACCAGGCATAACAGGACCCCTATAGCCTCCTTGCGGAATTGGTTGTCCTTGATTGAAACTCGACATTGGAATTGGTTGTGGAGCATTGGGAGGCATATCACCAACAGGACCTCCAGACACAGCAGGTCCACTTGGTGGACCTTGAGGCCCCATCATAGCATGCTGAGGTGCATTAGGTATACTTTGTGGTGGCTATAGAAATACATTAAATAAGAAATATTAAAATAATATTCCATTTATAAAAATGAATATAGAAAATTTATAAGGAATAAGCAAGAGTTCTTACAGGAAGCAAAGCCTGAATATTTTGGTTAGCATCAGCAATAGATGCTAAATATACTAAATTTCGATGTAATATTTGCTGATATCTAAAAAAAATTCAAAAAGTTAATTATAAGTATCAGCCCATTATTGATATTTTTGGGATAACTCACTGAATGCATTCTTGTGGCTTTCCCTTATTTTGATATTCTTGAATTGTTTGTATGAGATGACTGTTTTCATCCAGCATCTATAGAAAATGATATATATAGAAAATAGTGTGATAAAAGTCGATATAAATGTCGAATTATAAGAAAAAGTTAATTAAAAGTATAACATTACTGTTAAGGTAACAAAGAAGAGAACTCCATATGATTAAAAAAATAGTTTTACCTTTTGTATTTGGGCATTATTCGGTGGAGGTCTACCGCGTTGAGCGAATGTTACAGACATGATTGGATTGTCAGAAGACTTTGTAATTGACTAAAATAATCTTAATGTTTCTTTCTACTCTCGAAATCGTCTCAGTATGAAGGACTGAAGTTAGTGGCGTCACTTATCCTTCAAAGCTGTTCATATTTCGGAGTTCTGTATTGAGGCCGAACTTGTACCTAACAAACTATCGGCTTCCTGGGTGAGGTCCTTTCTTGGGACAAATAGTAGTGTTCCAAAAAATGAATTGCTCACTCCCGAATAAATAACTCCGAAAATAACGCGTTTAACCTACGACGAAGGAAGTCCGCCCATTTGCAAAACGGAAAGCTCTCAAATGCAATGAATGTCAGCGCATATTCCGGGAAAAATGTCAACTATGTTGCAAGTGTAGTATTCATGGCATAGTTCTACCGACATACATAAAGTATGATGATTGGTTGGTTCTAGCAGTATATTTTTATAACAACCAATGGTTCAGTTTTGTGTCGTTCTGTGCCGATTAAATGGAAAACTCCTTGTTATTTTTCTACAAAAATTTGAAGCATATGAGCGTTAATTAATAAATAAATACTTTTATGCAACACAATATTAGGCAATTTAGAAGTACAAACTGATACACCTACAAACTCTTGGTACAATTTCTCTGTCCGACTTCGATTGCACAACTACGCAAGATTTTCTACTGAAGGTAACGAATACTACTTTAGCTAAAGTTTATTTTACTAAAGCCAACCAATAGTATCATGTTATGCAAAGGAAACACAGACTACGTTTACTCGATGTTCTTAAACAGGATTAGTTATACTGATCTAAAAGAATTGACCAATCCCAAATATTCCTTACAAGTCGAATCGTCTATGATTTCTCTATTCCTTTAGATCAGTGTTCAATAAACCTGTTTGAGACAATCGTGTAAACGTAGTTATATTGGCTTAGGTTTCACCGTGCAGAGTTAAGCAGCCTCATTGGTCAAATCCATTTAACTGTTATACGTGATTGGTTAACTTTGTTTAAACTTTACACGGTGGAAATTAAGCCATTTGTGCCGCAAAAGAAGAGCACTCAGCGGCGAGGAACCGATGGAGGGAATAAACACATTTGATTGGTCAAATTATACATTGCGCAACATTTAAGATATTTGTTGTCATTTTTAGCTAAACGCAGTCTATCAATTAGTTCAAATATTAGATAACGAAACATCAATTTAAATAAAATACAATACAGTATTTTTAAGGTTTCGCGCTATTCTAATTTTGTTTGAAATTTGAATGAAAACATGTTTCAACGGATGATCCAAAGAATCGATAAATTCTATGTTGGATTTATAGCAAAATGCCAGTTTTTAAAATTATTTTTTCTGTGTGAAAATGTTGAAAGTGTATAAACACTTGCGGTATTAAACTCAATGAAACACATTACGAATTATTTATTCTTGAAATTGAACATATATAAATAACTTGTACTTTAGACGCACAAAGCATTTTCGGTTTAGAATATTACAAATTAACTCTTAAAATTAAATTGCATAGGATGTTACATCTATTATTGTAGTTATACGATATAGACAGATAAAGTCAATTGAAGAATTTAATGTAGAAGTAATCACGTATAAATATAATTACGCGTTTATAAATTGTCATTGCAAACAAGAAAATGGGATCTCAAAGTATCATTGGAAAAAACATTGTGTAATTTGACTATTCTTCAATATGAAACATACATGTGGCGGGTAGTGGAATCTATGCGATTATTAACTATTGTTCATGTACGCATTACTTTTATCCGTAAAGGCATAAGGGCACACATGACATATCACAATAGATGTTCTACCCAAATACAATGTAACATAGTAAAAAAGATTGGCTCTCATATACGTCTTTAAGAATGTAATAAATAAAGCTAATAGAAAATGTTTGCATTATGTTACATCGAAATATCTTTGTTATCAGTGAGAATATTCAACTGTGTAATAAGGGTTTAGGTTAAGAGTATTCCTATTCCTTTTGAGTATTCGTGATAGATACCGAAAGGGTTTTTGCACTAGTATCAATGAATTGAAAATTGTTATACTCAAATAAAAAATTCAAAAATCCTTGGCGCAGAGACGCCACATTTGATGCTAATGTAATTTACAATTTACTTAGTTCAATAATTCATACATACCGAAATATTAGTGCACCCATTGAGCCATGTAAATAATTTAGCTATTAAAACAGTAACAAACGTTACCATGAAGAAGTGTTATAAAGGCGTTACTGTTAAACGTATCAATTTTATTTTTATTATTATTATTCGAACACGCGGTACCTATAATTGCTTATATGTATTTTACCAATGATTAGAAACGATTTAAAGAAAGAAAAAGAAACCGCTTAGGAGTAAATTCGTTTTCATTCAATCCTACCGATATCTGTGTAACACATTCATTATTAAGCAATGGTTAAAGTGTTACCGCGTTGTGTTATTCCGCAACACAAATAATAAATATGAACTATTTAAACATTCATTTCTTCTCTTTATCAATATCGACCGACTCTTTCTTAATGAGAATTTTATTGTCGTTTTTTTTATCTTTTTCAGAATCTGTTGATTCCTTCTTGACGGCTGCTTTATTGTCGCTCCATCGTGTATCGGTTTTGGATTTGTGTTCACCCTGTGATCCATTTACTTCTCCTACTGTTCTCTCATCTTGTATTTCTACTATTTCCACTTTCTTTGTATCAGGCTGTACTACTTTCGTCACCACGTGATAAACGTTCTTTAACGTAGATAGATATGTGTGCGATTCGGTCTGTAATTAGATATAAAATTTGGATGGATTTTATCGTGGAATGATATTTATATCCCTACAACATATGGTAAGTGATAAATACGTACCGATACTTTTTTTAATTTGTCATCCGTATTCCTCAATTTGTCTTTATATAACTTCAAATCCTCGGCAAGATCTTTAATAGTGTGACTTTGTTTACCAGATTTTTCATTTACAGTGCTAAGTTCGTGTTGTAATTCCATCATTTTTGCTTCTGTATCTACGCGTGCTTTCTCTGATCTTTTTAATTGCACAACAAGTTTTTCTACGTCTAGTAATGAGCCCTTGTATATAACGAAGCCGTCCGGTATAGCTTCCTCTTCTTCTAGTAACGTAGCTCTGTCCTCTCTGCGTGCTCTTTTTGAAGCTGGACCACTTCCCACGAATACTGGAAGCAATCTTTTATTTCCTAAGAAAAACAAATAAATGCAAGTTTAGAAAACTATTCTTTATGGGAATTACCCGGCGCGGTCTACGTTACAAAAAGAAACACCGTCGTCTATATTGGTCTGTGGGGCCGACTAGAGATCTATGGGTTTATTCCATGTAACTAACATATTAAGGGCTTATCTGACAATTATCGTATTTAGAGAACATTCAAGGAGTGGTATGCGTGAATAAAATATCCACATTTAAAAATGCTCCGGGACTCTGTGACCCAACGTAGACGGCGCCGGATTAAGTAATCTTGAGGCGCAGAGAAATGTATTTACCGAGAGCAAGAGATTTCAAAAGATCTTCATCGTCATCAGCCTTTCCAGGAATTTCGGACTTCTCCCCATCCTTCTCCTCTTTCGTGTCATCCTCTTTGGACTTGTCTGTTAATTTACGATAGTGCAGCGAATCACGGGTAACCACTTTTTGCACAAGTTTTCTTACTTGAGCTCTTGATAAATTTAGCCCAAGGGTATAGATAAGCTCTTCAATATCTTTATCGAAAATATAGCCGCAGTGAGTCTGATCGAAATATACAAATGATAGAAGAAGGTATGGGTCCTGAGTATATAATTTGACTTTCCTTTTTTTGCTATCCTTATCTTTATCTTTCTTGCCATCCTTTACAGAATCATCGTCCTGAAAGATGAATGAAAATTATATTCGTAAACAACAACTCATTCATTTTGTTTGTACTATTTGCATTGTAATAAACATGGAGTAACAGTAACCTCAGACTCATCATCGTCATCATCTTCTTCGTCGTCCATCTTTTCCTTATCACGATCTTTATCGTCGATTTTAGTTTTCAGATCCTTCTCGTCCTTCTTGTCTTTACTACCTTCTCGTTTTTTCTCATCCCTGCGATCATCCTTCTTACACAACTTTTTATCATCCTCCTTCCTTTTATCATCTTTTTTATCATCCCTTTTGTCATCTTTCTTATCTTTTTTCTTGTCGTCGTCTTTTTCTTTGGGCTTCTCAGGAAGGCTACACAACGAGCGATATATACGAAAACCAAAGTCACGCATTAACATTTCATTGAAGAGTTCGGCAAATAGGGACACTTCAAAAGAATGTTCCTGTAATGAAAATGTTTTAACATCAAGCTAACATATTATGGCAGCACACTACATAATAATTATGCTACGCTTCATAAACTTCATAATTGACCAAAATAATTTGACACCTTCGTATCCTCTGGCCTGTAATCCAACAATACACTGAGAGACATAACAGTGCAATCAAATTTTCCACTCTTAGCCGTTCGCGAAGGATGAACAATAATATGCGAAGCATCTGGGAGGCTGTATCGTTTTTCAAGCTGGGTCCGTTCACGCTCATGCACTTTTTTCTTATCCTCATCGTGCTGCAATTTGAATTCCCATTAACGTTTCCCATATGCACAAGGACAAATTGTTGAACATCTTAGTAAGTGAGGTAACAGGACAATGTAGACATACATCTTTACTGTCTTTTGACTTTTTATCATCCTTTGATGATTCTTCCTTTGGAGCTGGAGACATTTCTTTCTCATTCTCTTCCACTTCATCCTGTCTTCCTTCCTCTTTGGCTTGTTCAGATTTCGTGGCTTTGGTCAGTCTTGCGAGTAATTGCGATTTAAGACCTTTGGAACTAAGATTCCGTGCCGCCAATTCCTGTCGTAAATCATTGACCTGCACACAAGAAGTAATATTATGATCCGCAAGATTTACAGTGCATTATATCAATACAAGATCATGCTCTTACACTCATCGATTTCGGATCTAGCTCTGAATAGTGAGTGGGATCCTTTTTCTCTGGTACTGCCTCATCCTGTAAAAAGAAACATATGTTAACAAATAATGCTAATGAGATTTGTAAAAAACTACAAAACAGAAGCAGCCCCTATAACCAATCGAAACCACTCCCTCTTCATTCTTTCGCCACTCTCGCATAACATTATAACATCATATATATCTCCATTCACGGTGACCCTCACGTATGACTCAAGTAACTGCTACGATCTCTTAGTGTCCTGGCTCTGGTGTCGGTGTGGTTGGTTGGTTATGGACAAGTAATATCAATAATGTAGTAGTATATAAAACTGATGAAATGAAATTTTTGAATGATTTGTCAATTAACGGTGGAGGTTTCAGGAAGGGGAATGGCTCAGCTGCGCTCTTCTCCGAGCTAGGCTTGCTCGCTTCGCTTGTTAATGTAATGAGACTGCCAGTGGCTAAGGGGGCATCTGCCGTACGTAACTCATCGATTACCGATAGCTGTTACCATATCAACATTTCGTAAGGTTTTGCAAAAAAAAAAAAAAAACGTTACCACTGGTTAAGTTCGTTTGAAAAAAAATGTTCACTACCCTTACAACCAAATTTATAAACAGAAAATATAAAATTCTTATTACCGGCCCAGCTCTAATTACAGTACAACAGTAACAATCATTATTAGAATCATAAAATATTTGTGAAGAAACTTAAACATCGTATAAATAAAGAGTATCGCTAAATGGCAATTTTTTTTCGTGACAAACGATCAAACCCAATGTGAAAATAAAGCTTGTAAATAGAACGATGACACAGCCATAGAATCGATGAGCAAGTACTGCCTACTGAAAACCAGTTTAGTAATGGAAAAACATCTGCACGATTATATAATAATATAATAAAAAGGTAAAAGTAATATGGGATGATGTGGGCAGTGCCTTTTGATCAGCGACGGCAGCCTCATCAGTGTCATTGGCAGCATCCGAATCGTCGGGGTTAGAGGCAGCACGCAGCAACTTTCGTTCCAGTTGTTTCTTATAGTTGAGATGAAGCCCGTCCCATTCCAGCCTGGTCGGCACACAGCTCCAAACATCTGGGAGAAATAGTATGACGGTTTCAACGCGGGAAGGTACCACTCGCCCTGACTTGTGGGTCGTCTCTGCGCGTCTGTAGTAGAGCTCCAAGAAGCGGTACCTGTGCCGCAAGGAAAAACAATACCCAAACGTCAACTCAGGTTAATGCCGGTTAGCATTGCCTTATATACTAATTAATAGCTCGTTCGCACGCTAGACCACGTACTGCACACAAAGCCACGCACAGTATACGACGTAGAGCGTATGACAAATTTGACCGGATTGATTAGAATAATAATAAAAAAAGCCGAGGGTTTGTCTGTCCGTGTCTGCTCATATAACGACGATGAGGTGCTCGAGTCGAGATCCAGTGGAACGATGAGAAATCGGCCGGTCGTGCACGTGGATACATACCTCCTGCATACTGCATGAGCTACAATCAGCCTATCATCAAGTCAAAACGTATGTTAGTGCTAACCCAGTCCCTAAAAATTCACCCACTGGATATATCCTGATTTCCCTGGTCTAAGATCAGTCGAAATAATATGTTTGACATGTACACTGATTGAAAAAAAAAAAAACCGAAGATATTTGTAACGTTATCGGTCGAATGTGCAAAATTATGTCATAGCATTGTAGGTAACTCTGTTGTGAACTTGACTTTGGAAAACTTCTCTTAATACAAATTAGTTTCATCAATTGACAATTTGTCAGAAATTTTGGAAAATATGGAACGATTGTGATTTTCGCATTGTGTATGGATATAAAGGAATACATTAAATGGAAATGTTAAAAAGAGTATTCTATGTGAATACTATAATGAGCAGGTGGAATTATTTAGGAAATCATACCATTGAGTGCAACTGGATAAATCTATTCCAGTAAGAGCCTTGCAGGTCCTGACAGCAGTCTTGATAAGAACAGAAGGATCCTTTTCAGGATTAGGTCCGTCAAGGGAAGGACTCCATGGGCCTCCGATTGCCATTGTTTCATTTTTCCCCCGTAAACCAACTAGGAAATTTACTAATCGTGTTGGATGAACATAATCACGATCAGGATCCCTATCTTCAGTAACACCACAACAACGTTTATAAATTTCCTCCATGGCTGGCATTGATATAAGCATTACCTATGAATAAAAAGCGTATAATTAATGGCTCCAACTCACATCTAATGGATGAGTATCGACACTTTCACCATAAATATATTAGATATACCTTTGCGGAAAATAAATAATCTGCATCAGGCGGTTCTAGAACTGATGTATTTTCCACATATGGATCCACGTCTTTATGCATAACGTGGAAGGAACATGGTTTGTTCAGTGTGAATGGCATATGCGGTGGGAATGCATCAACCCATCTGAAGTTTGTGGAAAAGAAATCACTAGGAATGTACATGTTTTGATAGCGTCTTCGGATTTCTAAAACATCAGCCTCAGGCCTGAAAGAAATTCGTTTGTAAAAAAATTCCATATTTCATATCTAGGTACATTTCAGCTGACTGCATTGTGCTCTTTTTTGACATATACAGTTGACAGTTATTTACTCTGATTAGCAAAAAACAGAGAATTGCAAACTTACAAGTCCAGTGCAATTTTTGGTATTTGTACCATGTAACGAGGAACCACTCTTGTACGACGTCGTGGTCTTGGTGATTTACTCCTTCTAGTTCTTGATGGACTGCGCTCCTCTTTCTTTTCACGTTCTCTTATTCGTTCTTCGCGCCGACGTTTTCTTTCACCTTCTTCGTCCTCATTTCTGCGATCTCGTGGAGATCTTTCGCGAACTCTTCCCGGTTTATTACGATTATTATTATTACCAGTATTTGTGTTTGCAAATCGGCTGAAATTCATTAAATGTACGTGTACGATTAATTTTTTATTAGAATGAAAAGACGGCTAGATAAAATTATTCATACCTATTATTAGTATTTTCTGCTGGGGGAGGTACTGCATTGTAAGTTCCTGAGGGCCTCGAAGGTTGAGGACGATTTGTTTGATTGGTTTGTTGTGTAGTAGTATTATTTGTATTATTTCCCATAGGAAGTACTTGTATCCTAGTGGCATTCCACTTAAATGGCATTGATGGATTGAAAGATGCTTCGACAAGAACACGATCACCAACTACAGGATTTGATCCTTTCACACAAGCACTGCAGCAGTAATTGTTATAAAAATCTTTAAATGCTTCTTTACATATACAAACATAAAATAATTTAACTTTTTTCAACTGACCTTGTTTGAAAGAAAACATCTTCATCCACAAAACCAAAATTATCATGAACCTTCGTTACAGTTCCTGTGAAAACTCTTTGTTTTGTGGATGATGCTGGTACATTTTGCTGTACCTGTTGAGCTACATTGGCTACAGATTGTTGAAAAGCATTGGTATTTAAAGCTCTTGGTGTTGGATAAGACACAGTAGCCACTTGTGGATATAATTGTCCTGCTATACCTGATGGTAGATTGGAGCCAAGGGTAGCCATGGATGCCATTGTGATATTTGGCTACATAAATAAATGCCATATTTAATACATAATATAGCATAATTATTTACAATACATTACATATCAAATTACATGATATCTTAATTATTTTAATCTTATCAGAAACATATCTTGTTACCTGCTGCAAGCCTAAACTTTGTTGATAAACCTGTTGTGTCTGTTGCTGATATTGTACCATGGGTTGACCACCAATGCCTCCCATTGCTTGACCCAACATTTGTTGTTGGATATTTTGTATGCCTTGCCCTAATAGATAATGTTAAACCATAACAATGTTTATTGTGAAACATAATTTTTTTCTAATATAACCATATATATTTTTCATGTTCCCTGTTAATGAGATAACGCCATATATATTAAGAGATATGTAAGTATAATGTATCAGGATAAAAACATCATACAAAAGCTAAAGTTAAATGATAAATATATAAAAGTTATATGTACAAAAAAAACATTTAAGATTTTTCAATAACGATAATATATATAACAAGTACTGCATTGAAGAAATATAATCCTCATAAGAATGTTTCTAGTTGGATTGATATAGTTATAAAATATGAAGTTATAGAATGAGATAATTTCGAATCGAAGAAACTGCAATTCATTAAATATTTCGTTATTAACATTATTGTACAATGGCATAGTTTTCAATGTATTATGAAATACTGTGATACATTGAAACTAAGTGTAGAACTATCAGTTTAAATAAATAGTAATATCTCAGAGGAATATATTTCCACAATTCGGATAAATAAATGAAAAATCATTATAGGAAAATTATACAAAAGCATGTAGTATTTCAACATAAATTTGGCAACATCGTTTGCTTGCACACGGAACCACAATAAACTATTGATATTTACAATAAACAGTACCTGCGTTTCGTACCCACGGTGGATTCTTTCCACCGCCAAAGGGCGACAAATTACTCATTTTTTCGGATAACCTGGTCGTTCCAATCAATTAAAATAGTTCCATACAATGTCACAAACGTCTCGTTCAGCGTCCTTCACACGGGCGCCATATTTTTGGACACTACAGCTGGAGTCAGATTTCATCTATGTATTAAACTTATCAAAATTTTATTCTTCCAGTGAATATCGTTTGTGCAAAGATAATAACGTATCGCGTGATTCTCAATGCATTTACAAGAGTTAAAGTAACTCCTTCGACATTGAACACTTATGAGATTTTCCTTCCCCTTCCTGTCCCACACTCTGATGATAACATACACATTTAAATATAACAATATGTATGCATGTACAACTACCTTATCGGGGGAAGAGCTATACGGCTAATTATAGAATACAACGTAAACGTAAATGTACTAAAGCGAAAAGGCCTTCTGACAGAAAACGAACATACATAGTCCATTGACTTTATTTAATCAATTAAAAAATCATGGCAAATGGTACATAGAAATCATCATATCATTGTTAAAAGTGTGATGAGAAATTCAAGAACTTCAATTCGGTTGAACGTTGTAATATTTATACGAAGTGTGAGATTTGCGCTACATCGAATAGCTTCGTTATAACACATAAAGGGGCCTGTAGATAATCAGGAAGTGTGGCTGGACAAGAGATGAATATTGTAACGAGGAAATAATGTAACGAGTCAAAGACGAAACGCTTCGATTCTCGCATTTGACCAGTCTCCGCTGTGAACAAAAAAAACTTTTCAGAGATGGCCTCCACACGTTCAACCAATTGTGAGCATTAGTTTATGATACGTCATTTCCGCAGGTGAACTCGGTTGGCTCTAATTTCCATTCTGACCTACGAAGTACGTCGCGGTTTTAAATTGTTGAAATTCATAGAGGTTAAAACACCGATAGAGCCGCAGATGGATGGGATAATTTATAACACACGGAAACTCAGTGTAGGTGCTGAGTCAACGGATAGTGCGCATACAGAGGCGTGCTACGTCTCTCTTGCACACTGAAATAAGCTTTTTCAACTCATTGAATGTATCATAATCTCCACTGGCAAGGTTTAAAGGCTTTGCAAGATTTACGAGTTTTACTCCATCTAGTTATTGAGATTTGAACTAGAACGAATAGTACAAAATTTATACAGTCTCTAAAATTCTACATGAAGCTTTTTATTCTATGGTCGAATCATAGCGAACCATGCGCTCGATAATCCGTCATGTTTGAACGAATTCGACGCTTCGTTACGCAATAATAGTTTGTAAAATCTTAACGTGGACCGGCAAGTAGCACGTGTCTATGCTTAGGAAAGCGAATAACGCATAGGTCCCATTTTTTACAAATTTTTCGCTAAACAAGTTCTGGAAATGGCGTTAGCATCGATTTGTCGACTGTCAATTGATTCGACCTTCAGCCGTTTGAACCATTTGGGAGCCACCGCCCGCCGCAGTAAGCCGTCTTTCTCAGCGTCTCTAAGAAGCTTTGCTACTACAGTTGAGAAAATGGGCCTGACACGCGTTTTCTTCGATATGAGTGTGGACTCAAAACCCGCGGGCCGCATCGTTATGGAGGTAAGACGAATTTCTTCTATATATTCGCTACGTTGATGAAAATTCTATTGGTTATTAGTATCACCCGGCCTGTATGGCCATCTTGGCTTTTCCAAGCCGGGCTTCAATACCGGCTATATTCACATTCTGCTACTCGATCTTTACACAATAATATAATACATTAAATCTTATCTTTATACTGATCAATCTAATTTGATAAGGATTATTTGTATTGTCCGTTTCTATTGTTGCTCTGAAATGATCACTTCCGTATACGGGTATGACTAAGGTAAAATTTTCCATTGTCCCAGGTCAAGGAAAGCTCATGTATCACTTGCAAGTTAAATGTGGTATTATTGGTATTTTATATACTGAAACATTGATTAATATTATTAAAAAATAAATTTGATTAATAATATATTACATTAAATTTTATCTTTATACTGAAAAGATTAGAATAAGTGGTATTTGACTTTAAAAAACGCCGTTTATTTTCAGCTAAGAAACGATGTTGTCCCAAAGACGGCTGAGAATTTCCGTGCTCTTTGCACAGGCGAGAAAGGTTTTGGTTACAAGGGTAGCAGCTTCCACCGGGTGATTCCTAATTTCATGTGTCAGGGTGGTGATTTCACTAAACATGATGGCACTGGTGGTAAATCCGTCTATGGTACTAAGTTCCAAGATGAAAACTTCCAGCTGAAGCACACCGAAGCTGGAATTCTTTCTATGGCTAATGCTGGCCCTAATACTAATGGTAGCCAGTTCTTTATTACATGCGCTAAGACCGGCTGGCTGGATGGAAAGCATGTTGTATTTGGGAAAGTAATTGAAGGGATGGATGTTGTTAGAAAGGTATGTTGAAGAAGATTTTAAAAGTTCAATTGAATCATGATGTAACATAGAGTTTTATTAGATTTAAGTACAATGAGAGAATAATGATTATCTCAGTACCGTAATCCTGGATGGCACTGATTGTGTTACTTGGTATGCAACCAGAAATACATTCTCAATCATATTTTGTGGTGTGCAGCACACTATGGAGATCATATAGGAATGTGATTTTAATGGCTTTTTTGTTTATACTTTTTCAGTTGGAAGCATTGGGTAGTCAAAGTGGCAAGACCTCGAAAAAAATCACTGTAGCTGACTCTGGAGAGCTGTAGAATGACTGACATACTTTATTGACTATTTGCATTTTTATTTAGCCATTACATACATTTATCATTATCTTCATTTAACACCGAATATATATGTCGGATTTAGGCCGATTGGATCACCGTCCTTCTCAATAATTATCAAATTTCCATCATTGTTTTTCAGTATCTAAGTGATGAATGATTGTCTTGGGTGGGAACGCAATAAATGATATTGGCAATAAGAATGTGTCAAATATGAGATATTATCTGAAATGAGATCGAGTAAATAGTTCTGTAATTGAAAATGAAAGAATAGTTAGAGATCAAACTTTTGTTCTCTAATATCATTCAATTTTTTGTGAGACGCACATACAAAGAGCGTTTGGACCAACTTCCGCTTACGCTATTCTTCCATCGTTAAACCATTAAAAATTGAAATTCAATGTTTCAGAAAATTGAATAACGTTTTCAATACTCCCATTTATTTATTATTGTTAACAAGATCGATTTCAATATATTGCTTAATGCACATACCCGTTCCAGAATCTCATCAACCTTTTAATTGCGGTAAATTTACACCCAATCAAATGGATCTAATAGTTACACTCTTCGGGATATCGTTCATTTTTATACTTGCATAACATCACTTTATCTATGATATACAGTTATCAATGACATGGCTTTATTTTGTCAAATTAAATGTAGATAATATCCTGGCAATATTATACTTTAGTATATTAGAACATGAGTGTTGAAGAGTGTAGTTGTACCATTTTGAGCAATTCCAATTTCTACGAAATAAAATTGTTTTCAGAAAATCTTTATCTTCATTTTATAACAATATCTTCCATCATTAATGGCCGTTCCTTTCTCCACTCACACTTTACACTAATATCATGTTCGACGTTTGGAAATAAAGATGCATTTTCAACATTCATGATTTATTTTGAGTAACATTCGTAATTTCTCAGGTAGGATCACATAGTGCACGTATGATTATTGTTCAAGTTTAAAGATAACAATGATAATTTTACTTCATAAATAGACCGATGCATTATATCGTAAATAATAAGATATATAACAGTACAGTATTTTTATATTTTACAATGCTGTTATACATACTTGCGCGTTATTAACTATTTTAGAATATACAGCTAACCCACACTGTCTTTCGACGTGTGTTATACGCTACAAGAATTCTTCAGAATAAACAGCACAAAGATTGATCTCTATTATTGATCTTTTAACAAAATATATTTATATTGTGCGCTATTGTTTTCGTGCTAATGCAAGTATAAATTATATCTTTCATAGGAATTCTTGCATTAGTTAAAATTATATATGGTAACGCATCTATACTTACACGTTCTTCCCTTCAGTGTATAATTTTTATTGGTTATAAGAAATGCAAGGTATGTTTTATCTAAAAATAATTTTACACTAAGCTCAGTGCTTATGTGCTGTAAAGGATATAGAACATATCGTTTTTGCAAATTTTTAAGCATTTTGACTCACTACAGAAGGGATATCGAGTAACAATTGTCAATAATAGAAAATAACTTAGATATTTGATTATTACCAATGAGAGATATCCAAATAGATAAAATTACTCTTATCAAATTTTTAATGTCTATCCTATTTTCGAAAATTTGACACATAAAAAAGCACGATAAAGGCGATGAAAACACTATGATAATTAATTTAGTGTACGGCGATGTAAATCCAAAACAGCAAATTTTTGTAATACAACAACTACAAAGAAGCTTTGAAATATCAAGATACGTTATCATTATGATACTTTACATCTTCAAATCCAATAATACATCAATTGGTATTATCCAAAACTTATGTACCTAACTCCTGATCGAAAATTTAATGAGACATTTTTCTTAACTACGGAATGACAATTCTTGAAAAAAAACATTGCGTTTAATCCTGATTAAAATAAAAGTATGTAATTACGGAGCTCAGGATGCGAATTTCAGTTTCAATTAATTACAAACATTTGAGGCTTAGTCATACTTATTTTTTGACAATGATAAGTTATTGTCTCATTAAAATAACGGGACACATTGTATTATTCGTTATTGCGTTATACTGACATAAAAACATTTTTAGAATTATCATTTAATTATTTATACACGATAAGGAACATTTAAAGGACATACAATATTATGTCAAGTCTATGTACATTTTCTTGTATGATGGTAGGACTATTTTTCTTTCACTATACCTATTTCTATACAAATTACCTACAGTCTATTTATCTTAACTAAATATCTAACTAAACTTTCGAATATTATGATTATACAGTTCTCTTGACAATTACTATTCCTTCTGACGATTGTCTATACATTTATATAATATGGTCCTTAAGTTTCTTTCGTTATAATATAATTTATAAATATGATTTAGGGATATAGTCAGCGAAAAAGACACGTCGATTAAATCACTTATTTCTTATCGGCTTTATGCTCTTCCCAAGTGGGTCTGGAAGATTTTCTTGGTTTATTAATTGCCCTTGAAAGTAACACATATATATGTATACATACCCGAAGAATATTATATATGTATATGTACGTATAAGATGATTTTTAGTAGGGTTTATAATGAGTTCTTTTTCTCTGTAATATTCCAGTCGCTCGGGTAAATGTATTTTATTACTCTACGTAAAATTATTGAAATATAAGTCACATCAGATAACCTTAGTAGTAAGAATATACTATTATAACTTATAACATTTATGCAATTCTTAAATTATTTTTTTTCAATAAGTCATCCCTTTTATCCTGTATCTTTGACCTGCAAAGATAGCTATTATTATTGTTATTTGACTTATATTCATGCTGAAAACAAAAGTCATTTTTGTAGATCCAGCAAATACGTGTTTACGCTCTATTCCGAAAGATCTTCATTTTTCATTTCGTAATTTTCAATATTCTTTCTGTCCGAGGTAATCGCAACGCGTACAAAAAAATGTTTCTATGATACACGCACACGGACATACATATATAAATACGTTTGAATGGTCAAATTCAATGAGATATGTTTCCTTAAGAATAGAAAAATATAGTGAATCATTCCTTATCGTGTAAGTTCAATGATTCAACTTAAATGATTTAATCTCGTTTTTCCTTTCTATTAACTGTAAATTCTGAACAGCGAATATAAAGAAAAGAGCGAATTACCAAAAGATAGGAGAGAAGGTCCGAACCCTCTATAAATTAAATACACAGGTTAGGATATCGATTCAGCTGAATATAATTAAGATTAGTTTTATTAAGATCCGAATGACGGGTTTTTGAAAGTAAATTTCGATCTTAACATTTTTGGCTCTTGATTAATTAACAAGTTTGATTAATTAACAAGAGAAGCATGTTTTTAAAATAGATCCCAGCTCTCATGAGATATTTATTGCAAATTTGTATTTTGCCTTTTGGAAAAATTTTTCATTTACGTCGACGTACCAATATCGTCCTCATAAAATCTTGGAGATTAATGTTTTATACTCAAATAATGGAAAACATCTCGGTCAAATTTAAAGTCGACCGTAAATCGGTTCATTTATCGTTAATTATCTTCGATATATTTTATTTTATTTCCGTAGCTTCCTGTCTGTTCTGTTATTCTCTAGTTTCATAGTTTTATCTTTTTTTTTTCTTGCTGCTTTTTTATTCGATTTTGCAATGAAACCTTTAATACGTTTCACGAATAATAATTGCTATTCATGGGCTACACTTAGCAGCAACGTCGTTCCTCTTTAACCTTCATTTTGATCCACTTCTCGTGCCATCTCGTCAATTTCTGTCGTTAATCAGGAGCTTTCGAGGTCAAAAAAAAAGAAGATACAAGTCTTATGGAATGACATAAAATAATAAGGGTGGATGACGTAAAGATTAAATAGAATAAAAATATTAGCTCAACTAATTTCAAATTCAACTGTATTAATTTCTCGACTTTAGCAAAAACCAATCTCTATTGTAAGCATCTTGTTAAGAATTTCAGTTCGTTCCGCGAATCCATCTACTTCATTTAAAAATTCTACATGGACCAGATACATCTACTCCGTCTGGATCATTAATTTCTGATATTTAAGCCGTTTCAGGTTCTTATATTCGCCTGACGTGATTAGCTCAATTAAATCAAGATCTTCGACACCGACCTCATGATCGGTTCCAGTCAATTCTGACTTTGGAAGGACAATTACATAGCACATAAACGTGCTCACTTATTCTTTGTGCTTTACTTCACAAATAGATCCTTAAGAGAGGAACACATGGATTGTTCACAGGATTCCGTCTGTTCCTCCTCTTTATTACCTCCTGTGAACCAACTAGCCATCTTACTGGGACTCGATTTTGGTTTACTAGGTGATACACCCTGTTTGCTAGTAGAACTTGTCGACGCGTCAGTATCATTTCCTCTCTGTGCCGTTAGAAACTCTTCTATAGCGGTACCAAGGACCTGAGCGTCAACTTTGGTACCGCTGGTGTCATCCCAAACGACCTTATGCCTCGTCGATTCATTGATAGGGGTAGTTTTCGCCAAAATCGGTTTTGTCAAAGAATCTACAACTTTGATCACTTTAGATCTCTCATCCTTGAACGTCACCGCAGTTGGGGCGCAGTCCTCGCTCTTTTGCTTCTTAGACATTGGCTGATGTCGCTTAACGAACCAGCTAGAAGGCGCCGTGGATGACTTCGCATTGCTGCTGGGTTGCTTGTTTCCGGTACCGTGCAGTATAGATACGTCGAAGCTGTTCGAACGGAAACTCTTCAAGCGGCTTCGTTTTTGTTCGCTCGACTTGCTCGAGCCTGGTTTGGCGCTATCATCTCGGGACGTACTCTCATCCCCACAACGATTGATTTCCGTTGCGGAAGAAGTTAGAGAACTAAGTATTGAGATGAGATCGGTGTTGGAGCAAACAATTCCAGCAGCCGGTGAAGTAGCCTGCTTGGTTGTGCTCGGTATCTTAGGCATTTCTGATGCCCGTCTTCGAATAGAACCCGAAGGTACAGTCTCAGAGATGAAGGAGACGTCGGAGAATCGACGCTGCTGACATTGCGTGTACCTCTGGGTCGAGGAATTGCCCTCGAGGGGTTGCACCTCGCAAATACGCTCCTTGGAGGAGGTCTTCCACATCTTCAAACGAACCTAAGAAGAACGTGATTCGAAAATTGAACGATTTATCAAGAACCCTTTCGCTAAACGGACGATTTTATTTCTTTGTGTTCCTTACTGGGTTTTCCCCTTCTTTCTCCCTTTTCATCACTATCGGGCACTTACCTTTCTCGCAGCTTTGATCTCCGCGATATCGTCCATTATGTCTAGCTGGAGATTGTGTGTGCTCCCACTGTTACTCGGGGGTCCGCTTATACCAGAGGCAGAGTCACGACGACTCGGTAAAATTCTCGCAGCACCCATTGGAAACGCTGCTATGGACTCTCTTCGATTTCTTCCAAACAATGTTGGAGGCACCCTCGATATGGTGACGACAGAATGTCGACGTCCACCAGGTTGAGGGGCTGGTGCCTGAGATAGAGTAGCGAGGAATGCTGCTTCCTTTGGCGACGGTCCAGATCCTTCTCCACCCCTTTCACTCAGGCGCCGAACCTATTCATCAAAGGGTGTAGCTTAGAATTCCTTTTAGGTACATAAAACACAATGTGATATATTTTCTTCTTTCAACTGACAGTAAGTTCTGCTCGTAATGAGATCTTTTCAGAACTTTTTATTCTTTACCTGCGAAGCAGTTATTCCAGAAGTACATTGGGGCGTCGGCAATGAATGCTTCCTCGTTTCTCGCCATGGTGATAACAGATAAGGGTTCAGAGAGGGTGAATCGGGATCCAGACAACGAGGCGGAGATTCGTTTCTACGAAGATCAGCCTCTTCTTCGCCAAGTAGACTTTCCTCCACGACTATTAATGGCTCGCTAGGGCCACTACCACTGCTCATACTAGTACAGTATGACTGTCTTCTCATTTTGCTGCTGCCGCCGCTTCAGGTGTCTCTGAAAAGAGATAATTCACTGAGTATCTAAAGCGTCTCGAAATTCTCGCTGGTTTTTACTTTTTTTTTTAAATTCTAATCGTACAAATAATTCAACTTTATAGCCTAAATCAACTTTTATGCCGAAAACATCTCGGAAACTTTTTAAATCGAGTGAAGCACTCTCCCTCTTGCGTTACGAAAGCTTTTTCTTTTTTATGGTAGCATGTATCTTTCTCTTTCTTTGTTCCTGTAGCATTCGCTGTCTTCGTTAATCACAGATTTTGTAAATGGCTTATTTGTAACAAAAAATTGTTTTCTGACTACGGTCCACTTTTTGAATTCAAAGACCAGGACCAAGTTGCGAGGCTTTCAGGATGAATTCGCGAGTGGCACCAAGGAAAGTTATTTATTGATCGAATTTAAGTGAAGACTTTACCCTCGTACTGCGAAAATCTTCGGAGAATCAAAATGGAGAAAGGTAACTTTATCCTTAAAGAAGAATGTATAACTCTTAAGTCTTCAGAAATATTTCGAATGATTCGATATCTATAGAAATCAGAAAGATTTTCGTATACAGGATTTCATTACTTTTCAAATATTTGTTCTTTGATTTATCATTTTACATTTTTCTCATATACCATTCTGGATCAAGGAATATAAGGCTGTGACAGTAAGTAATACATAATTATGAATAATTGGAGGATAATGCAGTATAGCGATGAACAAAATTTAATGACGAAAGTGCAACAAATGGCCGAATGACGACGAAATTGAAGATGAATGGTAAAGTGCTTGATCCCCTTTACTACAATTGGGGAGCGCTTTAAAATACTATTATCCGTTTTATGACAAGGGAAACCCAATCAAGGGTAGGTCTTCATTGTAACGACCCTTCCCTATCCATACATTTTTCAATGGTTGAATACTCTTTTGCAAATTACAATTATCCCAGGCAATTTCACTGACACGAGATATCCTTTCCCTCATATCACATATCAATGTACAAAAAGAACACGGATAGATTACGTATACGGATCTGATTGATGGAATGATCTACACAGATGCGCGGCTGTAGGATTTGCTATCGCTTAATTGGCACGTGACGCTGTTATTAATACTACAAAAACTTTGAGCAGTTATTGGCATTTCCAATATAAATCATACTTCCACCTCGTTAACGCCATTTCGTGCAGGATCCGTGTTCTATACCATATACTGACGTATCAATAATCCCGATGTTACAAATTTCCTAATATTAGGTCACAAGAGGGTTGACACACTTTAATGGCCGCTGATGTTATGTAAAAAAAAGTCAACTATAACGTACTTTAATTATTTCATAAAAGTCAAACTGTATACAGCAGACACATATGATAATTTTTTTATTTTCCCCATCTACTATTTAGGCATCCCAGAAATAGTCAAGAGTACAATAAAGTACAGAACGTCATATTTTTGCACATATTAGAATCATGTATAGTACCTACATAACCGTGGAACGTTATAAATTCATTCCTTAAAAATGAACGTCAGGTAATAATGCGGAATATTTAAATTGGTGTAAACATTTATTTTGATACAGTATAGGTATGCTTCGTTTCTTCAAATACATATATACGTATATAATCTCGTTTAATTGATCATATGAGTAACTCATGCTCTCAAGATAAATATGTATGTATATGCTTGTATTATTTTTCTACACTCTACTTACGTATTAACATACATGTATATGTACGTCACGTACAAAACGTATACATTCTCCAAGCCTACAAAGAGATGTCTCATACACTTCGAAGGACATGAATATCGTAATATGATATATTTTCCTCGTGAAGCAATCATTCTGGAATATCTCCCCGGGTATTTCTAGATTACCAATGACGCATAAAGTTGGATTTTAATCAAGTTATTGATTTTGTATAGTAAATCTGATAGACGTGGGCGATACAAAAATTTGTATAATACTAATCAAAATGGTATACCAAAAATAGATATTGACTTTTAAAACTTCAGTGTTTATTCTATTTACATAATTTAGTCGGTTACGTAATTAGCGTAATCAGTGATAAGAAATTTATCTCAATCTAAATGTAAGATGATATTGTAAATAATTAAATGCCATTAAAGAAACTTGATACAACGTGGTAGGCCGGGATAAGGCCTTTTTTCTCTTAGTTGTACGTCACGCTGGGTTTCCGCCGTAGGAAACTAGTAAATTTCTAAGTATTTACTAGAGCTGATTATGGCAACGGTAGTTTGCGAACGTGGTAAAACCGCGTAACCGGTTGAATTACGTGAATGGAATTCTTACAAGTCGATGAGGAATCTCTATGAAGATAAAAGATTTGAAAAGTATTCCACGGATTATTCGTAGTATTACGGTAACGAGAAATCATATATTTCGTTAAGTTAATGTCAAATGTAAATATCTGCGTGCTCCAGAAGTTTGAAATTTATGCTAATTGTAAAAGCCAATTTCTAGTTTCTAATTGCAGTCACGTTGGATCTGTACACTAGTGAAATGTATACATACTATTTAACTATCGAGTTAGCATACGGTAAACTAATGCTTAACTGTGACAAGTAATCCAATCTATTATAACATGCTTACCAGAGACACTAGAGAATGTGTACAGAGTGTTGACAAGAGTCAGCTTATATTATGCTGAAGTTAAAGTTCATCAATCCTTATGAGAAGTAAATGAGTTGACACGAGAGCTACTGTTTTTGTTACTTTTGCCTCACGTAACTTTCTGCTTCTGTTTCGTTAGTCATAAACAAGACTGAAGTGCTCGAACAAGAGTGGAAAACTTGTATACCAAGTTGTAACATATATTTTCTACTATCCAAGTTTTCCAGTAAAATTTTTGAAAACTTTGTCTCAACTCGCTGCGCGTGAGTGGAGAATAAAAATGTATTCACTCTGGTGGATCTGACGTCGATCTGGATTCATACGGTGTATAATGGTGGCTTTGGAATTTCCATGGTTAATAATTAATTTGGTATTTTTCAAATGATCAAAGTTATACTGAAATTGCAAATCAATTATTGGAAATATCTTCCTGGTTAACGGAGTGAGCGTTATACCGAGCATCGGTAATTGTTATTATGAATTCGCAAGTAAAAAACATGAAATACTTAGTACTGAGTTCTCTTACGCAGTGACGTCAAAGCTATGTAAAACCCAAGTTCGCCGTATCCATCGTATCCATCTTCCGCAGTAATGCAAGGAAGTTCGACTTTCCTTACTTTCCTCTGCTATCATAGTCACTACCAATTGACAGGAAAACTACTACAGCTGTTCTAGGAAGTGGATCAGAAGTGCAGATGCTCTTTGTTCATTTCGATCGTATAAAAGAAGCGGACACCGATCCATCGACATCAAAACGAGTAGAGCACTCAAGCATCAATAACTCTCAGAGTAAATTAGCCCAAAAGTCTAAAGATACAAGAAACCATGAAGGTCTTCGCAGTCTTTGTCATTGTTGCAATCTTTGCTTTCGCCTCTGTCAAGTGCATGCCTGAGCCAGCTTACGATGGACCAACCTACGAGCTGAGTAAGTATATCTTTCTGCATTACCAGTCGTGCATAGTATGGCTTTGTTTTATTTTTACTTGAAATAATATTTTTCAATGCTAACTTTTATATTTATTTTATTCAGCTCGTATCGAGGACGTAGATACCAGTGGTGGAATTGCAGATCATACAGAGGAAGCACCCATAAGACATCGCCGTGTGACTTGCGACTTGTTCTCATTCCAATCGAAATGGCTGACACCCAATCACACTGCCTGCGCTGCTAAATGTATTGCTCAAAGACGTAGGGGAGGTCGTTGCAGTAACGGAGTATGCGTATGCCGTTAGTTTCATTGAAAAAGTATTCAGACATGGGTCTTATTATCGAAATTGAGTATTATCATTATTCTTGCTTTATAAATAATCAGTATCTATGTATACGATTCATATTTTTACTGTACCTCGAGGCTATGAAAAATAAATAATTTTTATTTATCTATATATATATATTGAGCCTAATATTTATATTATGAAAAACATCCTTTATACCTTGAGCCTTGATCAAAAATTTTTACAAGTTTTTAAATAAGACAGAAATTTCTGTTCTAGTTTGCTTAAGAGGTGAGCAGTCGAATAGAGCAGTATTAAATAAATTTTTCTATATGCTGCTTAAACGCTACTAGCGCCATCATGGATGGTAGTCACGTCTCATTCATATCACACCCTCCGATTTGAGTTAAGTTTGCAGATTGAATTTCATGGTGATTTAGTTCAATTTGTACGGGAGACCATTAAAATCCACGCGCAGGTCATCTTGCGAGGAAAAGGGGAGCCATCCCGTTTGCTAATTATACGAAAGTTTTGAAGTTTGTTGTTTCTCCTCCTTTGAAAGTAAATACGTGAGTTTTGTCACATTAACATAATTTTTCGGACGATACCAAAGTGCGCGAAAACCGTCTGTACTACTGGGTAGATTTTGTTTGAGTGGAAGGATAGTTTAAGGGAGGAAACCAAAAATTTCGGTCAATAAAATTGCAGTTGCTGAACTCTGGATTGGGGACTTGGAGTACCAGTACGATTTGGGGATATAGTCAATATTTATATATAATATTTAATATAGAGATTAGTATATTCATCTTGGCATATATCTGATATATTACGCCATTTTGTCCCTAAGCAATATATATTTCAGTGGTGTTGCGTAGCAAAGGCATTAGTATTTTATTAAGGTACACGAAGCATCAGGTACGTATGTCATGTATCATCCCACGAGTTTAGGGTTATCCCAGAAACTGAGAAGGGATTTTCGCTTGGTAACCATAACTTTGTTCTCGACGAAGCTTCTGTTCTCAAATTCTCGCATGTTCGTTTCATGTGAAAAAAATTAAACTGCCTAATGTCCCTAGGATATTGTCAATCAAAATTCTATTTCTGTAACGTCTGTGATTCCTGTATAAAAGTACAAGTTTTTCGTACGACAACGATATACTGGAAATCTGATATTTACTTTATGTTTATATCGAGATGGTGAGAATGTTTCGTTAACGTTCTTAAGAAAGTCTTGTCAGTTTTAGAAGTTTCGTTTTCTTTTTTATTAGGAAAATCAAAAGCCATCTTAATATTATCAATAGCTTCAGTACTTGTTTAACGCAATTGTAAGATAAGGATAATTATTGGTGTCTATAAGATCGGAGTGATACCTAACCTTTGAGCAGTAAATTCTTTTCAAATGATAAATTCGAAAAGCCAATCAACAATCCTACAGTGATTAATTAAATAATTTGATTGTAGTTATTAACTTTTGCCATGGATGGAAAAGCTAATAAAAGTCATTCAAGGGAAGAAAAGCAATCCAATTGCGTATTAATTGGACCGAACTGACAACATCAATAAAGTATCTTTCGGTCAGTATCGTATATCAAAGAGTTCGTTACTGTTACACGTAATCAAATTCCAAGGATAAAAAAGACGCCTTGTACCAAATATATATTTATGACAAAAAAATATGAAGTTCGTTTTTTTAATAATCAAATCGATGCACATGTATTGGATACAATTGATACATCACTACTCGTTATTATCTAAATAATGATTTTTCTGTCGACTTTTTTTTGAATCATCTAGTTACTGAACTAGTACACCCACGTACGTATATAGGAAAAAATAATTCATTTACACGTGAAACTGTCAGGGCATAAATTCTTTTTTTTATCGAACTCCAATATTAATCAAGTATGGATGTAGAAATCGACTTTTTCATCAAACTACCATTTATCAATCATTTTATGTCAACTTTAGAAGGTTCTGCCTTACGACTTACTCGGACTGACATACATATATGGTTTAAGTTCATCAGAATAACAATTTCGTATAATTTCATACGCGAGAAGATAAACTTTTTTATTCGTTAACAATAAGTAAAATATAAGTGCCATTACGACATAAATCTCAACAACGAGTCATTTAGCGATTTTACATATCAATTGACCAGATATCAAACGAATTTTTAGTATCAATTATATATATTAGTGATATGAGTTTTGAATCAAGGATTGTCATGTTAGCATTATCAATGTTAAAATTAAGATGACGTCATTTCATTATTAAGGGTTACTAACATTTATTTTTATTTCCTAGCATAGTCGGCAGCGCAATAGGCTGACCCAGTCACCCTTTCTTATCCGCATTCACATATTAAAGCTTAGGTTTCCATGGATACCCTAATAAGACTCCATGTATATCTACCCTGACTCTTCAACCCTGCCAACCATACAAGGATTGAGTTGAAGACTAGTAGGTTGGTACTTCAAATTTAAAAAGCTCTTCGTCAGTTGTATTTATCATATGTATATCTAGGAAGATCTTGAAGAGAACTTCATTACTGAACAGCGATTGTTTCCCACTTTAGTCGCTAGTCGAAATGATCGTCCAGACCTGTTCATCTCGTGCGAACTTCGAATACTTTCAACATCACGAAGAGTAATAAATTTTCATAAATATTACTGGCTAATGGAATATTTTCGCTTAGACGTTAATTAACACAACGAAACTTAATTGGCCGGAATTGCTTTGGGACGTTTATATATAAACTTTTGTACAGAGTGCAGGTGATCGATAATTCCCATCTACCCTCTGGTGACTGTTATAATAACTTTTGTCTGCTGCTGCATTAAAGAATTTTATACAGTGTATAATGTTGTTGTGATAAAATTTCACATTGCTGCTACTGGAAGCTGTAAGCTTTCCATGTTGGAGATAGCAGCTTAGATAGCTACTACAAAGCAGATAGAACTTGAGTTGAAGTTTGTCCTATTAAGAAATAGAATTGTTTAATTAGCCTAAAGAAAGTGCAAAGGGATCATAAAACTGACGATTATTAATATAAGAAGCATTCGCAATTGTTGACAAAAAATCTCACACTCATATCTCATCCACAAGGATTCTGTCTGCTCTGAGCTTTTAGCAGCTGCCAGGAATAAAAGCTTTTATTATTTCTCTTTGTCCCTTGGGTAATGACAACGACCATCCAAGTGATACAACGTTATATCTGTACCAGACACGTCCTTCTTTAACAGCTGTATACGTTTCTGACGACGTTGCAAAATCTTTAAATGTACTCAGACGGGGATTAAACGTGTTTATAAGAATATTTATGATATACATTATAATAGATTAGACGAACTGTAGCTATATATGTACGCAATTTGACAATGGATTTTAACTATCGTCCTTTGATTAATAATTATTTAATTTGTACTTTGGTGTTAGATCAAGTTCGCCAGACATCATTAGCAAGGCAATATCTCGGAACTGTTGAGGTAATTAATTTGTCGGCAGTCCTTAAGGGAAAATTGCCTCGAGTTTAATCGATCTAGACGAGTCGTTGAAATGCTGGAAGTAAGAAATCGGCTCTGTCCGCCATTAGCTAAAGTAATAGTAACACCAAAATGAGTCAAGTATACTCTCAGAATGATAGCGATACGCAAAATAGAAATAAAGAAAAGAGTAGAAAATGACTAAAACATCTATTAACGCAATTCCTTTTAATTAGAATTTCAAAAAAAAAAGTATAACGATTTCACTCATTTTATAAAGTAACGTCTACTTTTAAAAAAGTGTTTTGACACTCGTGTAAAATAATATATGTATTGGAGGAATAAGGGAGAATGTACGAGATGTTCTCTGCGATGAAAAGGGATAGCGAAGGATTCTGGCTTGTGAAACGAGATCCAGAACTGAACGGGATGGCTGGTTACATGAAACGAAGTGGAAAGCCTTTACGTTTCAGTTATTCAAATAATTATCTTTATGAAACGGAACGTGTAAAATATCCTGGCTGACAAAAATTGATATAATACTATACGACCAGCACCCCTCAGAATGCTTTACTAACGACGCCCAAGGGGCAATCGAGTATTGTAAAAGGTCACAGAAGACAATGATATGACATAGATATTGGTACATTATGTAAATTCACAAAAGACGATTATTACATCCAGTTAAAGAGCAAACAATGGTAAAAGGAAGTAACATAAATGTAACTGCCAAGTAACTTGCCACTTCGTATCAAATAAATGAGTTGTTATTGGACTCAAAAAATTGGAGTTTTTTTTTCTTAGTACAAGGGTAAGTATTTTTTTTAGCTAAAATCACTAAATTACTTAAGCAGATACAGGTTCTGAGAAATAGGAAGCTAAATTACATTTTTTGTTTAAAATGGCTCATAGATCCTGTGCATTGGGCGTGGTAATGAAGCTGTCCAAAATAAACGAAAAAAAGGGACAACATGAATATCGCGAAGCAGTAAGTTAACTTCACCCGGTCTTCTTCGCAGTGAATCTGAGATTGTAAACAAGGGGAATACGTAATCTTAAGAAGATGGAAGATCAAAAGTTTTTTTCCAATAAATTTTTCGTCTCCGAAGGGAAAGAGAAAAAAAGTGAGAGAACACGACCTCTAAATTTGACTCCCGAATCTGCTTCTCTTTTATGAGAAATACCAAGGACATTTTGCAAATAGGCTCTTTCTGCCTTGCCATGTGAATTCGATGATACGCTGGATCATGCAAAGTGAAACCTCACCAATTTACCCTTATCGAAGAACGAGCAGTCACTCCTTAGCTTAGTCATTGCAAACTGGCATAGAAATAGCCTGAATTACTGGTAAAGTACCCTATTCTGAATTTGACAACAATTATTCTTATCTGTCCATGACCTTATAATAGCCGTGCTACAAAATTGAAGGCATTTTTCTTGAGTTTATATGTATAGAGAAAATGACTGTTTTGTGGTTCTAGTAATTCCATGGCTGCTTAGTACATAATCTAAAGATTCGACATTGACCTGCAGTACAAAGCTTGTACTGAGAATCAAAATAGTCCAGTAAACGTTAATGAACTGTGTTTGCTACTGTATTTGCTTTGAGCTTACTGGTGCATGAATCAATATGGTTGATAGGCAGAACGTTATATGCTATTGCATTCCCAGTAGGTAACC